ATCCTTGCAGAGTTAAAATTTGTTCAAATTTATGATGATAATGAAGACTTGATTCTCAATCGACGAAAACAATTCGAATCGACTTTGGATATTCAGAAAACCATTGAAATATGTAAAGAGCTGTGTCGAAAGGACGATGATAGCACTCATGATGAGCTATTGGACAGGTTGGCGGGAAGAGCAGCAGCCGCAGATCCATTACAAGAAATTCAAAACCGAGAAGTTAATCGTGACCTAGAACTTGCAACATTTCATAAACTGGGAGCCATCGCAAAAAAGAGAGAAAACTTGATGCCGAACGAACAGTTCTATCGACTCATGCAAATGGTAAATGATAAACAGAAAGAACTTCTAATGCATGCAATTCATCATTTGCTTTTGGATTCGTCTGCGCCGTTACAAGTTTTCCTAACTGGACCTGCAGGTTGTGGGAAAACATTCGTGATTCGTCTTTTGATGGAAATTTATAACCGGTATTCTACAACCGATGGATATTGCAATGCGTATATAACATGCGCGTCAACAGGGAAGGCTGCTGTTGCTATTGAAGGTACTACAATCCACACTGCTTTAAAAATATCTCTCTCAAAACTTCTACCTCTGTCAATTGAACTGGTACAGCAATATCGAACATTATTCAAGTACATCCAGGTGTTGATAATAGACGAGATAAGCATGGTCAGTGCTGAATTATTATCACAAATTGATGCACGTCTCAAACAAATCACGGGAAATCATTTAGTACATTTTGGAGGCATTGACATAATTTTGATTGGAGATCTAAGGCAATTACCACCCGTCAGAGCAACTCCGATTTATAAACAATCAAAAACGACGATAGCAGGTCCAACTCTATGGCGAGGAGTCAAATTTTTCGAATTGAATGAAGTGATGAGACAATCCAACATAATTTTCTCTACTATATTGACGAAAATTGGCGATGGTGCTCGATTAGATGAGAATGAAATAGAGCTGATAGAATCACGATTTTTCACACTGGAAGAAGCGAACGCATTGTGCCCCGATGGAATCCGATTGTTCCTTGCCAATAAGTCTGTACAAGAGTATAATTCCTCAATACTCAACGGTGCAGAAAACAAAATAATATCGACGGCGAGTGATATTTTCGTTGGTTGTCAAGGAGTAGAACAGGAAGCATTCTTCAGACAGAAGCTACACAAAATGTCTGTTTTAGATACTGGTGGCTTACCATATCAAACTATTTGGGTGCTAAATAAGTCGTATATGTTGACGACAAATATTGATGTTTCGGACGGTCTCGCGAATGGCGCAATGGGTAAACTGGTTCACATTGACTACAACAGCGATAATGAAACCACAAGAATATGGTTAGAATTCCCAGATTCCCAGAAAGTTGGGGAGAAATTGAGGAGAAAAGTCAGCGCCTATGTCCAGGAAAATAATATAAGCAGATTAGCAGTGCCTATAGCTCAGCGAACTTCAACTGTATACATGAATAACAGTAAAACCATAGCAGCGAAGGGGACTCACTTTCCAGTAATATCATGCTTAGCAATCACTATTCATAAATCTCAAGGAGGTACGTTCAGTGAAATCGTCTACGAATATGACAAATCGCACTCTCAACAGCTCTTATATGTTGCATTGTCAAGAGTTACCAGCATAAGTGGACTTTACATCATTACGCGTGACAATAAACGAGAATTTTTTCACGGCCGAAGACAATCGATTTCAGTCAATGACTTACAAACTGAACTTAGCTGACTACGACTCAACCCATTAGAAACAATAGGACAACAAATACTCGATTTCATGTCAGTGAAAAAGGGTATATCAATATTTACATTCAACTGTCAAAGTTTGAGGAAACACACAGCCGATTTGAGAGATGCCGTCGTACGGAAATCATCAATATTAGTTCTCAGCGAAACATGGATGCCGTCAGATGACCCTGTAGATGTGCCGAATTTTGATTGCATCGTTTCATTCAAACGATCAGAGAGAAGAGCTGGAGGTGTTGCTGTGTACCGAAATTCAATAAACAGGTCGGTTGTGGCCACCCCACATATACTCGTCAACCTACGTCAAATGGATGCCATGAATGTTGGCTTGTGCAGTGTCGGAGATATTTGTTCGGCCAGAATTCGCCTTGAAAATGGACAGTTTGTAATGGTAGTTGCTATATATGTATCACCCAATCAACCGATTGATAAGATTATAGAATTTATCCATTACACACTGCTACAGTATACATTGGCTGGAGCAGCGTTACTCAAAAAAGACTGGGGCACTACGCCCATGATTTTAAGTGGGGACTTCAACGTGGACTTCGCAAAACCCGAATCTCAACCTCTGATTGAGTTTTTAGAGAAAGAATTTGCTTTGCAACTCACTAGTAATAGAACAGTTCCAACCACGAGGTTCGGTACTACAATTGATGCTGTCTTCAGTAGATTCCTCAATAATATAAAATCACAAACTTTCATTTCGTACTTCAGCTATCACAAGCCCATAGTTTCTGTTTTAGAGTTGCCTGACGGAACAACTGATGAATAATGAATCATTCACTATCAACAACTTTGACGAAATTTAATTTTGAAATAATGTATATTAATAAATTAGAAAAATTGTCATTCAAATTTTCTTGTTATTAATTTCCTAGTATCCCATCGAATTTCTATATATAATCATAATAATAATGCTTTCTCAAGCATGAGAAGCGAAAAAAAATTTTCAGGAAAAACAAATTGGACAAAAAAATTTGAGAATACTAAAAAGAAGTTTCACTTCTGTCGCGCGTGGACTCCACGCACTCAATTTTTATATACTTCTAGACGCGATTGACTAAACAACAATTAAGTTGAACGAATTGTTAAGTAGTGGAGTGTTAATTATACTATTCAACACAACAACTGTGGAGAGATTTTTCACGCTTAAAATATTGGGACGGAATGATCATAACTCGGGACTGAGATGGCTTTATTCGGAGAGGTGCTGGCGTACTTTAGCGTAAACATCCTCTCAGCAATTGATCCGTTGGGGACGCAGATCTCGATGTAGTCTAAACAAATGACGAATTTGTGTTTGAGGTCCCCATAAGGAACGGGACCGTGGACAGTCTGCCCTGTACTGGGCCATGGGCAAGAGCACTCTTCCGACTGAGATACAGTGGACTTCCCCTAGCTCATAGCGTTCGGGGGTCTGATTCCAAGAACTCGAGCTAGGGAATTACCACCTCCACATGCGCAGGGCCGTGCTTACGCGAGAGAGACAACGTCATTATCTGAGAGAGAACGCTGTAACATACCGGCCGACGACACACAACGCTTCCCCTCTCGTGTATGACGTCACTAGTGCGGTAGGGGACACATTCCCCGCCGCTAGGACACGCCCCCCGAGCTACGGATAGTAAGAGCTAAGGGAAGTCCACTGTATAATTATCCAAATACCAGATTGTTTGCATTTTCAATGACGACTCTGTGAAGAAGGCGATCCTACAATATATGGACAAACATCCACGCTTTTGAAAAGTTATTTGGGGAGTGAATTTATTGATTTTATACTCTTTATGAAAATACTTCCTACACTATCTTGATCCCTACGGCACGACATAGTTTCTACGATATTCAACCCTAAAAAATGGGCATTTCGTGAAAGCATATATATATCCCAGGGCCGAATCGCCGACGACATTGTTGATATTTAATGCAAACGGGATTAGTGCTTCCATTAAAAAAAAATAGAATTGGTACAGATCCATTCGGAAGCATATTACCAATGGAATTGGTAGAAATGAAAAAAAAGAAAAAAAGTTATAACACATGAAGAAACAGGTGATGTTGTGTGTCAAAACGCGAAATTATTTTTTTTTTATTGAAATTATTTCGATGCATTTATTAGAATCTTGCCTCTCTCAACTCAGGTATTTTTCCCAATAGAATTTCGTAGAATTTTAATCATCGCCCAACTGTCCCAATCCCTCCATTGAAAATAAACTTATATATTTTGAAATTGTTTTATGACAGCACCCTTGAGGTATTCACATCCCAACTGTAATGATCACCTCTCCTCCCTTTATTGCAGTCCCTTGGAACTTGCAACAAATTCCGTTAAAAATAAAATAAATAATAAATAATAATAAGGTTGATTGAATTGCCAGCCGTAATCGCCCCCATAGAATTGCGTAAGATCCATGAAACCCTCATACAATAACCGATCATGTGGTTTCCATGAATCCCACATAATTCTTTTGACTCTTATAAGATTCCCACGCTTAGAAATGTGGGACAGATCACGTTGCGATCATTACTTACATCGGATTCATAAAGTTCTGAAAAATATGTTATAGAAACATTCTCCATCCTTTTTCGTTATATTTCGAGATATATCCCATAATCTTCATTCCCGAGATTCATTAATTCATTAATTTTTCAGTAACTTGATAAATTATTTATTTGTTTTCTTTCTTTACTAACTGCTGTTTTTGCGATAGCTCTCGGTGGTGAATACCCGTAGTCGTAATTCTTCATAATGTTTCCGGTTGTAATGACGAATTCGCTGGGGTTTCCCAGTTTCTTAGTTGTTTCATTGAAAACACAGTAAGCAGGGGTGATTAATAAATTATCTGCCATTATTTTTGCTCCGCAAATGTGTTGTTTGTTGTCAGCGACACAGAGGAGTGTCAACGCAATTGATTATCAATTAGGAAGGTTTTCTCGAGTTTTATCCCCCAAATTGTATTTCAAAATGACTATTATCCGATTTCTGGTACTTTCTTGCGCGATTCGAGCCCAATTTGAATGTTGTACTCGACTCGGATTAACAATCATTGATAATTTCGTTCAGTCCGAGTAGGGCCGATAATATCGCTCGGCTGGATATCGATACCACTCAGTAATTGTATGTGTTGAAATGATGAGAAGTGTGCAAAACCCAAGAATATTGAGCGAGAAATGTTAGAGGTTCTAATACGATGTGCTATAATAATCAACATGATAATAAATGACTTGCATTTTTTATTCCTTCAAACTACATGAATTAACTTGAATAATTAATTAAAAAATCCATCACACAATTCACAATTCTCCATGGGATGTAACAAACATTATTGTTCATTTTATTCCTCAATATTCACTCCATTCACTTCATAATGGTTTTCTATAATTTGACAGAGATACAATTATCGGAGAGCCAATAAACAGAGTAACCTTTTCACGTATCTCGGAAGCGGAGAAAAGGGAAATTGGGAGGGATTTACGGGAATAGAGGCTTATTGGAAACGGGTGGAAGAGGAACACGAAGGGTTATGATGAAAAACTGAACAGGAACAAACACGCAAGTTCGAACTGTCTGGCATCTCCAGTTGAACTCATAAATAGTTCAATAGAGTGTGTGAAATTGCCAAGGTACTTCCTCCAATTTTTCGAATGATGATGTCACGCATATCAATGGAGTGTCTGCGTTTCAATGGGTCTGCATTTCGCGCAGTTCAATAAAGTGGGTATAAAATTACGAAGGTGACCTTCAAAATCTTTGAATGATGCCTGCATGCATTTTCTATTTTGATCCAGAACGTCAGATAGATTCGGTAGACTCCTCCACTGCTGGTCTAGTTTTGTTCTCCAATTTTTAACGTCGAGGGACAATTTATCGTATCCTCGGGAACACTCCTCACTGTCACTATTCTTGGACCATGACTCCAGTAAATTTACAAGTTGCGATTGAAATCTCTCTAGTCTCTGTGGACACCAAAGAAATTACAATTATGCTCCATTTCGTCTTGATGACTTTTTTGCATTTCAATAAAAGTTGAGCGAAATGGTGTCTGATCGGCCACATTATGTCCGTTACAGAGAAGACAAGATCAGATCCTGACCCTTTAATCAGCCTGGCTTCCAAAAAAGTGTTTCGTTACTGATCCCAAACTGATAAATATCAGTTCTCAAATATGTGATTCTATCTTTTTCAAGCAGATGCACGTACACCATTAGAGTCTATCAGCAATATTTTCACGAGGTTAGATCCAATCGATCATAATCGAGATACGCGGTAGCGTATCGGCCAAAGAAAATTTTGGATTCCGACTAATTCCACACCTCAGGCCGAGCGCTGCCGGGTATTTATACACGAAGTAACAACCCCCCTCCCCCCCACTATCTCCGAATCATGCCTATTCAATAAAATAACGAGACAAGCTACATGGAAAATCCCCTTAGTTACATCATTAAATCGCTCGCAAGCTTTTCATTGATGTGCCGAGTTTTTTTATTCAAGTCAATATTAAGGAATTTACGCGCATAGCAACGAGTTCCTATCTTCATTTTCGCATGTCACATTGTCTCCGAACCCCAAGTGTGAGTTTTGGGTTTCGAAGTTGGTAGCAGTGTGAACCAGCCTTACGCGTGAAGGAGGGAGAGAGAAAGAGTATGTTATTCTTTCTTTCTTCTCCTTGTACTCCACTAATTTTCTTATCCGATCATTTATTTATTTTAAACGCAAAATAAACATAAAAAATGAGGTGATCTGCAAGGGTATTTTGCTCTTTGTGAGACAATTTTACCCTGTTTTCAAATAATTAATATTGTTAATTAAATTCATGAAATACGTGTGAGCAAGTATATTTTCGGGGTTTTTAGATAAGCACAAAATTAATTATTTTTGTAAAAAACACTGTGCCAAGGCAAATTTTTCTTTGGTTTTTCTTGGGCATGAGGAAGACAATTTTCTAGAAAAATACAACGTTCATAAAAAACTTGAAAAAGATACAGAAACCAATGAAAGTAAGCCAAGTCAGGGCTCAATAAAAAATCAGTAAAGATAGAACCAACGTCCTTAATATCAATCTAATTTTCCATGTTCTAACCCGCGCCAAGGACGTTGGTTCTATCTTCACTGATTTTTTATCGAGCCCTGACTTGGCTTATTTTCATTGGTTTCTGTATTTTTGCATGTTTTTTTTAATGGAGGTTGTACGTTTTTAAAAAATTGTCTTCCTCATTTCCAGGAAAAACTAAAGATAAATTTCTCTTGATACAGTGTTTTTTACAAAAATAATTATGGTTGTTTCTTATGGTCATATAATATCAACAACATTTTCCGTACTGATCTTCACTTTTCCTCGTCGGCGGATTGGTATTGGCCCTTCCCCAAACTCGTAAAAGTGAAAATTACTACGGAAAAATATCGTTCACGGCTAGTGCCATGGGGTTTTTTTTACTCGCGTGGTTGGCCAGTCCTCGCCTTCGGCTCAGACGCTAACTCTATGCGAGTAAAAAACCCTATGGCAATCGCCCCGAAATACACTATATCATCTAGCGTTATGTATAAAATAATTTGCTTACCGGCTCATGTTCGTTAATGTAATCCGTTAGGACTCTTTTATAATCGTTGCCATTCTTGTTGCATGCGTCTGTTCTACTGAACCACCGCTTGCGCAACCGGTCAATCGTCCCATCGAATAATTTACGGCATCCTTTGCTATGTTCCTCTGAACATTTTCCGATCTTCATTTGGTCCTTAACAACTGAAAATGGAGAAATTATTCGTCGTTCATATGAAAAAATAATACTTTTTACAACATAATATTTTTTTCTTTAAGTATTAGCGTTCGGACACGGACGAAAAAATTTAATAGAAAAACCTATCGAATTCGTTAAAAATTTCTATTGAATTTCTATTGAAATGTTCAATACAGAATATTCAGTAGAAAAAGTCAATAGAATTCAATTTTTCTAAGTTTTTTCGTTTGATTTTCTTGATGAGAAGAAAAGAAAAATAGAATGCAAAAACTTAGAAAATTTGAGTCGAGCAAATTCTATAGAAAATATATGAAAAGAATAAGTTATGTAGAAAAATCGAATTATGTTGACTTTTTCTATTGAATGTTTTCTATTGAACATGTCAATAGAATCAGCCAAAAACTAATAGAAAGTTTAATAGAAATTCAATAGAATTTTCTAACGGATTCGATAGGTTTTTCTATTAAATATTTTCGTGCATGTAGCGCCGAACGAAAGAGCACTGTAACCACCTTCAGGTTTTCAATTGAAAAGTGTCTTACTTGACGTCTTTGTTTTCAATTAAGACGCTATTTCTCCGTGTGAGTTTATGAATGTTAGCAGTCTATTTGAAAAAACTTACTTCATAATATTCATTAACAACCGCCAGCCTTGCGTTTAATCGTTCCTTATGACTGCGCTGTCTATCGTCAACAAAGCCCAAAATCTGTCGTTCGTCCACTAGGCTGCTTTCAGCTTCGATGAGCATGATTTGCAAGTCGTCTATATATATACGGGGACGTGGTAAAAAAGAGGCCTCCAATGATTATTTGGTGTTTCAAGTCTGATTGGCCAGTTGACAGGAAAAGTCGTAGATGTCGAAATAAAGTCGAGTTTCTGTCAAGGATGCAAAATGAAGTTGAAAAAACTGGAGGAAAGGAAAATAACTCAAAGAGAATTCGATGATTGGATGGAGGAACATGAAGAAGTTTGCACACATAATCATAATGGAAGTTCTGGAAAAATGGAAGTTGCCGCTATCACTGATATGTTCAAAAAAGATCTGAAGAAAAATCTGGAGTTCAATATACTACACACGTTGGTGATGGTGACTGCAAAACATTTCCTGCTATTCAAAATGCGAAGCCTTATGGCAAACAGAATAGTAATGAGAGTTTGAATTCTTTGATTTGGTCCTTCACTCCTAAGCACCTGCATTCAGGGACGAAAATTGTAAAAATAACAACATACCTGGCTGTTTGTATATTCAATGACGGATTTAGGTCAATCCAGAGAATGATGGAGCAAATGGGTATTCAAATGGGTCCCCGTTGTGATGGATACGTTGTTCGAGGGGATCAACAGAGAGTCGATCATTCGGAGAGACGTGTCTCTGACGCAGTGAGAATTGCACGAATTGCCAAAAATTCAGAAAAATGTGCAGAACAGGATTTCTTCGAAAAAGAAGAAGGGGCATTGTATGGCGCAGGAATAGTTGATTGAGTGTAAGTGTTAATTTTTCTTTTGTTCAATAATATCTCCGTGAATGGAGTACCAAGCACTTACCGTCTTTTCCTCCCCGGCACGAGAGTGCCTGGCGCACCTTATCCGGGAGTTCAAAGGCGATTTTCTCGGAACTAAAATTCCGGAAATTTCCCATGACTTTTTACAGACTATTTCAGAAAGTTAATCACCAATCGATTTGAAATTTTTACCACCTATTTGACATCTACAGAGCTTTCTCGCCTACCACGCTCAGAATAATAGCTTTAATAATTTCAATTTTTATTACAAATTGTAAGCCCGAATTTTCCCGGGAAAATTGGGCCTTATCCGGAAAAGCAGATTTTTTTTTCAATTTATTTTATTTATTCTGCTAGGGGACGAAGCCAGATGTTTGCTGAGTACTAAAGCAATCAATTTTCTCATTTCAGATGTGTTGGAACCTCGAAACTTAATTTTCAATCATTCAATCAGTATTGGGGCCCGTCTACTTCATCATCAAATAATTAATTGCAGATTGTCCGGGAGGATGAAAAGTTTTGTTATTTCACTAGTAGAAAGATAATAAAAATTACCTAAAAAAAAATCAAATTTGTAACTTTTTTTTTCATATGAAATAAAAATTGTGGAAAAGTTACCATTCTCGCCGCCCGGAAAAGCGCAGACCCCCTTAAACCGTTTTACCACTTCGCTGCTGAATTATTCCTATCTATTGATGTATTGGCGTCAACTGCAGAATTTCCGTGAAATTTATAATCCATATATTGACTTAATTTTAAGTCCCGCTGAAAATCGAACTTTTTCAGGGTGTTCAGCGAAAAGTTTCTTTGAAATTCTCAGGATGTTTAGCCATTTTCAGAAAATCTAATTTTTTCATGTTCAAGGAAAATTCTATAATTTTTTTGGCTGATAGCAGAACATATGAAACTAACTTCTTTGATGGTAAAAAAAATAATCGCGATAGTCTCGCCAGAAATAAATAAATAAATTTTTCCTCATACACGGGCTCTTATGGGATTTATGTTGAAATTTATAATCGATCTATTATAAGAATCTCAAAGTAGAAATAACAATAGAAGGTAATGTGCAAAAGTATACTGAATCGAATGGCTAGAAAAAAATTTGCGCTACTCGCGCAAAAAGAGAACATATTTGAAAGATTCTATCTCAGATAAGCGCATGTTAGCGCATGCCTTCGGTGCATTTTGTCCACTCCATTTCTAAATAATAAACGTGGGTTGGTGGATTGAAATTTTTATCATGATCTTGGATGAACTCCTCCAATGATAATTCATTTTCCTAAATTTCTTATTTTCTAGACGAAAGAATTTCGACCAATTATTTGATATTCATAATTATTGAGCGAGTTCACTCAGGTTCATAACTAGCATGATAATCTTCTAGAGCAATATAATTGTCATAATGGAAACTTAATGAGGGGATAATATAGGCAAGGGATAATGTAGAATGAAACAATAGGAATTTCCTGCGAAGAATTCACCTGAAGAAATACGGTATTGGAAAAATAAATACTTCCCTCAAGTAAATGGATATTTGGCAAAAAGTATTTTTTTTCTCAGTGAACCTTTAACCCCTATTTTCGTGAAATTTAGTTGAGGCACTTCGGGCATCGGCTGAAATTGACTATCGTCAATTGAAATGTCATCAAAATTTTTTCGTATTCTTCCACATGATATTCTTTTAAGTAATTTTACATTCAGACAATTCGTTTTCAGTCAAGGTTTAATCAAGGTTTAGTCAGGAGTTATTCGAGGTCATGAATCAATGACTCCGAGAGTCAATAGAGTTTTCGGGCACTTCTATCTAATTGACATAGCAATCCTTTTGATAACTATTTTTTGAGTGGTCGTTAAAAAATCAATTTTTATAAACATGTCCATTCGAGGGGCTGGGAACTCGAAGATCAAGTGACACCATGACTGCAAAATGCAGTCAATTTCACTCGATTACTTTAGTGATTTCAATGATTTCATTGAATTCGTGATTTCAGCGATTTCAAACAGGCTTATCAGTGATTTCAATGACTCACTATGATTTCATTGACTTCATTCAATTGAAATCAATGACTTCTGAATCATTGAAATCATTGAAATCTCACCGAACCGAAATAATAAGTGGGATCAAAGGATTATTCATCAGAACTATCAATTTTATTGTCACAAAATATTAAAGAATGATTAAAAATTATTGCTAGTACATCTAATCAACTAATTACCAATGCTAGAAGTAGTGTTTTACTTCTCTCAAGATGGTGTGGTCAACTGTCAAGTTCCCCTTGTCATCAAAACTTGGAGGTGAAATAGTCTTTTCGTCACTAGGCACGAGAAAACCGCGATTCTAACCTCGCTTTGCTCGGTTAGATCGCGGTTTTCGGGCCCAGCGACGAAAAATATTGGATGTCACACGGCGATAAAAGTATTATCTGACGAATGTGATTAGAATCCTCGCCTTCGGCTCGGATTATAAAGTCACATTCGCCAAATAATACTTTTATCACCTGATGACATAATGTACTATTTGATACTGTTTAATATCGACCAATATACCAAGAACACAAGACGCTTATATCTTTTATGTCGCGCCGTGCAATAAGTCGAGTTTATCGCACGCTGCGCTTCGCGCAGCCTGCTCAAGACTCGACTTCTGCACGACTTGACATAAAATATTATAGAGCACTCGGTAATAAATTTCGTTTTCAACGAATGTGTAGTTTACAGGCCGAGCCGAAGGCGAGGTCTGTACACACATTCGTTGAAAACGAAATTTGTGCCCTTGTACTCTAATGTACCATTTTATTACCTTCGATGCGGGCATATGAACCAGAAAATTCTCTACTCTTTAAAGTTTTTCCTCCTGCATACGCGAAGTTCAATATTAACCCTAATAAACCTGTCTCGTAATCTTTCTCTTTGAAGAAACACCAGTCTCCTATATTTATTTCATCACATTTTTTAATAAAAGCTCTGTTATCAGTCTCATGAGAAGTACGATTCCGCTGACTAGCGTACTTTATCACTTCTTGATCTCTCACTCTTTGTACTCGCTTCCAATACCACACTAATAAACTTTCCTCTATTGAATAAGACACAACATACACATTATTATTTACTTACCAATAATAAGTGCGAGTAGTCATAGTCAGTTGAGCACTTGTGATCAAATTAATCAGTCGTTATTATCTTTAAAACGCCAAAAATGCTCAATTTTTGAAATACACGAGTTTGTTCACGTCACGGCGATCCTCTAACGTTTGAAAAGAAACGAAAAACAACAGGACGAGGGAATCCCATTTATTTTTGTACAGTCTCGGTAGTAATGTCTGGTTGCGACCGAGGGACGTGGCATGCGCTAAAGCCTTGACTTGGACGCGAAGCGGAACAGAGATTCTCGCAGGACTGTACATGCGTCCCACGAAAAAAAAATGCTCTGAGGTAGTGAGATTTGGACGTCGGTCTCATGCATATATTGATTTCTTTGATTCACATGATTTCATTGACTGCAAATGATTTCATTGTGACTTCCAGAAATGACTTCACAGTTGGAAATGATGTGATTTCAGTGATTTCAATGATGCCAGTGATTTCATTGATTGCAGGCGTGACTGCAAATTGATTTCAGTGGCATGTGACACCATGACTTCAGAATTTCCCAGCCCCTCGTGTCCATTTGTTTGAATTTTTGGGAAAAATTGAATTTTAATAGGTGTCAATGAATGGATGTTATTAAGGCTAATATTGTTAGGTACTTGTTCTTTTCCTCCCCATCAACTACCTTCATGTACGATCGTCTCTTTATTTCGTTTATTCATTTACTTGTCATTTTTGTATGTTCGTTCCTAATCCGTAGATAGGGGATCATTTTTTTTTAAACTTCCTTATAGAAAATATTTTCCATGATACAAGTGCATAATGTTATGTACTTCTTCTTACTTCTGGTACGTTTGACGAAAGACATCTTTTCAACTTACCCTCATTTATCCGATTTGTCTTTCACAATCTTATAATTGACGATAGGTAAAAGCGATTGTTAAATTTTATTCGCATTGTGATTTTACATGGAAAGCGCACAAATATTATGGAGAAAAACGACATCCTGACGTTGACATGAGTCCCATAAAATCCGAAGCTTATGACGACGTGGATAAAAGTAGTCATCAGGAGGAAAAATCAAATCACGACTGAGTGATGACTGATCACAGTCTCCCTAATATCATTTAACCAACAATGGCAAGTCCAATGCCAATCCGCTACTCATTCACTTTCTTCTCTTTTCATTTCTTTTATTGATCCTCCAAATCTTCCTCTCGCAGTTTTATCTTGGGCTATTTATCACTGAACATTTATCAAGTTTAATAAATATATTTCTTCTATGGGAAAAGATGGTTTTTTTCTCTTTACGTGATCATTTCCTCGCTCTCCTACGTAATTCACCATAGTGCACTTTAGTGCTTTACCCTACGCAATATGATCTCATTCTTTCTTACGCTGGGAGAAAAACAAACACGTTGTCAAACAAGTCTTGTTTCGGCCAACAAAATCGCTAGTTAAAAATTACCAAAAAAAGAATTTGTTTAGCTCGAATTTGAAAGTCTCAACCATGAATAATTGCTCTGTTTTCGACAGCAACGAAATATTTGGCTCAAGAGATGGATAATTCACACCCGATGGTGCCTTTTCAGGATGAAAATATCTCTAAGTTAAAAGATTGCTATCATATCATTATTATTGTTTCATAGGGTTCATTTCTTGTCTGTGATTATTAGACAGTCGAAACGAAAAACTACTATCCCTTGTTTCGCATAAAACTGTGGTGACTATATGTCTCCACTACATCTCTGTCATTCACACACGCACACACATACGTACACTTAATTTTCCTCTCTAGACATTGGGCCAATTCCCCAATTTTCCTGTCGAGACATTGGGCTAATTCCCACATTAAAAATCCATTTCCTTATTCCTTTGAAAGTCTAGAACATCTGTCCAAGTCACAAAACCATAAACCCTTCCTCAATCTAATGACCCGTTTATAACCATAATCCCTCGTCCGCCTGACCGGCACCTGTGACGTGACGACGGAAATTTCCCCGCCGGGACCCCCGGGCCAATCACAGCTCACCGGTAGGAACGTACAGCGCCGAACCAATCGGAAGCCAGGATTTCACTCATCCCTTCTCCAAATTTTCCACCAATCACATCCTTGCACTCTCCTTAAATACCGCACACTTTCCACACTCATCATCAGTCAATCATTCACTCATCCATCTCTCGACGACTCAATTTCGCACAGAGGACAAATTTACTCTCCACGCACCGTTGTGAAAGAAAAATCAATTAAAATATAAAACTCAATTTCGCTCAATGCTGAACTTCACATTTATTCTTCAACCTGCTTACATCCACAAAAAGATTTTTCGGGAGGAAAATACGTATGGGAGTATCGAATAACGAAGGAGTATTGCTAGAAATGACATTTCTTGCGCGTACAGAGAATGTAATTTTTTTGAACTACTACATCTCTTTTTGCGACAACAATTTTTTATTCCGGCGTACTCTCTGCATGTTTGGCACAAAAAAATCCTTTTTTGATAATTTTCAAAAAAATATTTTCTTGGCACAAGTAAGATTTGTTTGAGAACTTTGTCGTTTTTCTCTCAGTGTACGGTCTCTACTTGTCGTAACTGTTCACGGTCAGGACGGTCTTGGGGGTCACCTTTTGTCATTGATTTTTGTCTACCCAGTAACCCTGAGGTCACAATAGAATTACCTAGGTAAAGAGTGTTTTTAGATCGAACCCTTCAGAGATTTTTTTTTATTAAAAATTTTATATGCTAGAGCGACGTTCATTGGAATTTTTCTCGAAATCTGTCTAAATTCACTTGTGCTCGAGATAAATACCCATTTTTGGAAATCATTTCGACTCCTAGGATGGATTTATATTACGAGTATTCGGACTCAATTCGTCATTAATATAATTCCTTTATCTTCGCCTTGATGTTAAACATCCTGGAATCGATTGTCCATGTTTTACCTTGAACATTATGTCTTGTATCCATGATATGTGGAACGCTACTTCTGTATATATGGTGTATCGATTATTATCACAAGTTGCTTCAGCATCGGTATCATCTACTCCAATGCCACTGCTCACAATACCACGAAGGTACGACAATCTATTTGTTTCGAATATCAATCCACCTCCACTATCTCCATTACATACAGATGATCCTGAAGAACAATCACTGATTTTTATTCAATGTTATATTCAATGTGACAAATAGAAATGAAAAAATTCTATTTCTATTTGTGTATTTCTCCTTTTAAAAATTAACAAAATTGTCATTGTATGGAATTATTACCGTTTGTATATCCAGCACAGAATTTATCCGGAGTGATGAAATTTCGACCATTCACCTCGTCAGCCTGTTCAATGCATTTGTTCTTAGGCACCACTGGCACTGATAGTGCCCGAATTATCGAACTGGAGGATCCTGTTGCTGTTCTACCAAATCCCGCTACTTGTCCAAGTGTACCTATATCAATGGCGAGACTTCTTACTGTCGTATCGAGACATATTGGCACCAAGTAAGATTTGAAATCGAGGGAAGGCTCTACTCGAAGAATCGCAATGTCTTGGTCGTGATTACCCCTGTATCCTTGATAATCACAGTTCATGTAGATGTTTATTACCTGTGAAAATTTCATGAATTTGTTCATTTAATCCTATTCAAAGATTTTATTAGTTGTTGCTTTTTTCCTCACTAACTTTTGCTTTTCTAACTTCTATTTGTGGGGGATACTCCATGTCATAGTCCCTGAAGATATTTCCAACAGAAATTAAAAACTTTTCGGGTTTCTTCGACTTTTTAGTCCCTTCATCGAATATACAGTGAGCAGCTGTTATTAATAAATTCTCTGTGATTACTGTAGCTCCACAGATGAATTTTTTCACTTTCTCAGAATTTGTCTCATATAGCGTTGCATGCCAAGGAAAGTCGGTTATATTCGGCTGAAATCCATCCACTATCAGGGGTTTCACTGATTTTGACGGTTTAGTTCCACACACTAAATTGAATTGTTGCGTCAAATTTTTTCATTCAATGTAATAATGAGATGCGAAAGTTGGATGAGGAATACTACAGCATTTTTTTGCCATACGTGCATGAAAAAGTCCATTTTTTTCGCTATTTTGTGTAGAATGTGTAAAGTGGGTTTTTGGGTGTACTCTAGAGTAGTTTAAAAAAGTCCATTTTTTTAACGTTATTTTGAGAGCTCTTAGCAGTGCCCCCATGTCACATACCGGAGGCCAGCCTAGTCGTGAGGATTCTGACCCATCACGTGCCGTACTTCTCCTAACGACTATTCTGACTAACAACATCGGTCTACGACTCATCGTGCATTAGTGTTGGTGTATAATTCGTGTTACAGCATTCACAACGGTCACTCTGGCTGCACACTTGGTCATTGCGAAATAGTATATTTGTCAATTTTACGTGCGAATTATTTAATGGAAAATGGAGGACGAAATGGGCTTAGACTCGTAATCCGTCAATAAATGATATATTTCTTGAAAACAAATAATTTATATTTTTTGAATTTAAATTAATTCCAGGAAACTTTTCCGACCACTAACTTTAGGAAATGAAATTTTGACGTTATTTGCAGTTTTTCTCATTTTGATTTTTTTGGGAATTAATCAGTTCTTTCATGATTAAATCTTCATACCTAGATACTTTATAGACTACAGCAAAATTTTTCTCAGATGAAAAAAAAAATTTCAAATGAATAATTATGATTTTCAGATAAACCCGGTTTTTTGTTTCAAAGAAGTTTTCTCTTGTGGGTATATTTGATACATTTTTGCTGGCATTTGAGGACTTTTTCATACAGCCTTTGTCAAAAAATACGTTACAAGTACATAAAGTAGGGGGATAGGCTCGTGTGTGATTTTTTTATCAAGAGTCGTAGGTTTATGCATATCCCCCCACTTCCTGTACTTGTAACGTAAGAAACAATTCTTCATTTAAAAACATCGCTCTATATCACTATGCAGAGTTTTCTAATCACTTGTAACTCATTACTTCACCATTATTTCTCCTTATATGAAGAAGTATGGAAATGAAATAATACATGCCTATATTTTTCACTAGATTTCATTTTTAGCAGTAACAAAATTTCACGTGAAACCTGAACTTCCAAAAGTCTTATACACAAACTGTCCTATACACAAATGATCTATGACAATTAATCCTTTCAGTTTTTCACAGTTGCTTCACACATTTATGATATATGATTCAACTCATAGATAATATACTGTTATTGATAGTATTTGTACTAGGAACTAGGAACACATTTTCAAAATAGCCCACAGTTTCTCGTATCCCAAGCAGTCAGTCGAAGGCTGTCCACGATTTGTGATATGATTTTTTGTTATCTCCATCCTCTCACCTTCACTAGTTTTTTGGTTGTCAATGAGTATTAAAAATTTAATAGTTAAAGATATTGTCAATAGGGAGTGGCTGTAGTGTTCACGCGGAGAGTGTGTGGCTCCAGCGGTCATCCAAGCTAAGCAGCGTTCAGTCTGCCCAGTACTTGGATGGGTGTCCGCTTAGGCACACCTAACCGCGTAGGACTACATTCGCTAGGCGCGAATGTTGAGAATCACTGGGCCCATTGTGTCAGTGTGACCAATGGGCACAGTGGAATCCCTGCATTATCGGCCGGCTGTACGACTGGGGTTTTCCATGGTTTTCCTTGCAGTCCTAGCCCGAATGGGGTACAGTCCAGAGTAAGACGGCCCATGGTAACGCAGAAAAAATCAGAAGAGAGAAGTGGGAGAGGCAAGGCAGACGAATAGGGAGCCTATAAAACCGTAATGGTAGTAGGAAAGAAATATGAATAAAAAAAAAAGAATAATATTGTCAGTAGGCCTATCCAATCCTAACATCGATATTTTTATAATTTTTGTGACATTGCAACTCCCAGTAAAAACACTATCAATCGTGAAAGTAGTTCTATTGACATGAATGTTGATAACAATCGGACCTGGAATGCATTGTATTGCCTCTGGTTCCCACAGCCCTTGTGTATTACATGTGACATGATTTCGTTGCCAGACTGAATCCTCCCGACGATAAGCGCTGCGGCAAGATAAATGTGCTTGAGTTCCTGGCAGCACTGGTATCGCACAAGATGTCCATTGACCGTTACGGCTGCAATCAGCTTTCGTTGATGGCGTATCCAGTACTTTGCAGTGAATTTCTGTGCAAACAAGTGGATAGTTGCATTTTTTATAAATTAGTATAGTTATTGCTGCTTATAAATTAACAATTTGCTTTGGAATGCCACTGCACTGAGAGAAAAACGGCAAAGTTCTCAAACAAGTCTTACTTGTGCCCAGAGATAGACATAATCATAATTTATAATTGTCACTAATTTTATAAATACTTATTCAAGTAATAGAACTTGACAATTTTTCAATTATTAAATTAATCAACAACTAAATATTGAAATTCTGAATTATTTTACCACTCAATCATTGAATTCGTAAGATTGACGATTATTTGAAAAATCTCAAATACTTTTTAGGAAATTTTAAATTATTCACTTAATAGTTACTAGCGCACGGGCGCTTCGCGCCAGTCGCTAGATTCACTTATGTTACATTATTTTATTTTATTGTCTCCTAACTTCATCTTTCAGTATAAATTTACTCTGAAGTCTCACTTACTGCGACATTTCGATCAGCCGTCATTTATATAGTTTTGTTTGAAGGCTAGTGGGAGAAGCGGTACTAGTGTAATACCCGCTTATCTTTTCTATATTTACCACAAACATTTGACACTTTTGTTTTTTTCAAGGTACTCTCGCCGTACAATTCTGGGGTATTAAGTTCGACTTGACCAGGAAAAGTAGCCCCCGTTGCCATCCAACGTGATATGGAATCCAAGTGATCTTGGTCGCGAAAACGGTTAACACATACGTGTTCAGGGACCCCAGAAACATAAGGTCCAATGATAAAATTTAATGCACCTAAAAGTGTACAAGAGATAGGCATAATCATAAATTACAATTGTCATTAATTTCATAAATACTCAGTCAAGTAACAGAGCTTAACAATTTTCAATTATTAAATTAATCAACAATTAAATATACAAATTTCGAATTATTTTACCAATCAATAATAGAATTCGGAAGATTGACGATTATTTGATAATCTCACGGAGAGAAATATTCAAGAAAAATTACGGAACATTTCACGTAATCCGCAACCCAGAATCGTTTTCAGTGAATTTCTATAGGAATAAATCTGAAACGTTCAGTAAATTTTCGAGTCTGTCACACTAAGTGACTTTTTCACGTAATTTTTCTGGAAATTGTAAAATCTAACAGAAACTTCAAGACTTATTATACCTCAGAACATGAAAATTCTTAGATGTTTAAGAATTTTTACGAAAAGTTCCGGAAAAATTACGGAACATGTTGGTAAAATCTCCCCCTCACGGTGACTCATGGCTAACCGTGAGGTGTCGGACGGATGAGTAATTTTTACGAAACAGATCGTAGAATTTACGTGACGATTGACACGTTTTATTGAATTTTACTTCGCTCCCAGATTACGTTTCGAAACGCAATTTTTACGTCTTTTTTCTGGTAATTTTTATTGAATATTTCTTTCTGTACTCTAATATTTTTAGAAAATTTCCAATTATATTTATCTAATAGTTATTTGAAAATTTAAATTCTCAATTATTTTATTATTTTCTAAATTCAAATTATAAAAGAATGAATTCAATTATTTTAAGGAAAAATTCTCTTAATATTTCTAAAATAATGATTGATGCCGATCACTGATAATGATTGATGCCGGTCCCGTACTCGGGACCTGTCACAGCGTGTGGACTATTTCAAAAGCAAAAATTGTTGAACAATATTTATGATTGGAGAAATTATGATTTTTTAGTTCCGAAGTATTGGTATACTTCCATTAGCTACTCAAAATTTTCGAGAAATTTATAATTCATGCATTAAGCTTAAGTTTATAATTATCGGTGGAAATAACCGAACTTATTCAGGGTGCCCGGCGAATAGTTTCTTCGAAATTCCTTGACTTTTTCCTGTTTTCCTGACCAAAGTGATAACATTCCCGGACCTTAGAAAACGTTCATTAGGGTCCAACGAAACTCACACGGAAAAATTTATATTTTAAAAAATATATTTCAAAATATCTTACATTGGCCCAATTTATATAAAAAAATATATAAAGTATATGGTTTATATATATTTTTTATATAAATATAAAAATATGAGAATATATTATATTTTATATATGAATTTGAGAAATATGGAATTGGCCCATGTTATATATTTTTTTAAATATATTTTTTGACGGGTGAAGGGTGGAGCAAAACGATCATGAAGGTGAAACGGGAAATACTTCTTCTAACAATATGCGATTCAATGAATAATAAAACTTGATGCCTCCACCATTACGCAATAACAAGGTAATAAAAACAATTTTGTTCCATTAGTGATTAAAAAGGTAATCAGAATGTTTTTAGTAACCATTAATATTACATTTAAAAATAACCATTGTAGATTACAGAAGTGATCCAAATTGGATATTTACCCTTGATCACTAATGGGGTGGAAAAATCCATTAAAGTATGATAAAATCATTTCCAAAATGAAAATTGACAGATCGTATCATAAAATTATCACACTTTTTTAAGAAAATTCCTATTCTGTTTTACATAGTCCTGAAATCTCCGAAAATTATGATTGTACAATCAAAAAAGCTGAACATTTTCAAAGTGCGATTTTGAATAACATTGGGAAATAAACCCAATAGGGAGGAAATGGCAAATTAATCATTTGATGTATCTAATGGCTGTTAGGTCGTCAGTTGTCACAGTAGTCAATGGCTGTCAGATCGTTAGTTACCATGATAAATTATCCATTGACAATTTCCTCTCTATCGTACTTGTTTCTCAATCTCTATTAAAAACGCTCTTTGAAAATGTTCAGTTTTTCTTCTACTTGTTTTCATTGTACAATCTTAATTTTTAGGGACGCCTGGGTAATGTAAAATCCAATGGCAATTGTGACATATTTAACATTACGAAGATGGAAAAACAATCGAGATAACGTTCGAAAGATAATCCACCCGGTCCTCAAACAAAAAACGAATTCCATAAATGACGAAATAATTCTTACTGGGTGACTCGTTCGTACTTGAATCGAATGAACTCCTCCGCTTCATCCCTTGGTGAACACATCTGACTCTGGTACCTCCGAAGCAGATCAACCCACTATTAAGGGTGCCAAGTGTATTTGAAAAAAGATTCAAAAAAAATTTTTTCTTTCCCTCCATCATTGGAGAAATATGTATTCATCCATCCGACGAAATTTCAAACCCGCAACCGGAACTAGACATCGAGAAAATAAATGCGGAAAATCCTCTATTTCGCGTGACGAACCTCAAGAAAGCATGGGATCAAATGGGTACGGCGCGTTGAAATATCTCTCTTATTCACCCCCCATTGTTTTTTGTCGCCATCACATTGAACACATCATTCCCCATATCTTCAAATTTTTTCAAATTTTTCTTGAGTTCCTAGGGGGTTGAAACGTTCAATTTAATCAAAACTCCATAAGAGGCCGTGTATAAGACTGATTTTGTTTATTTAATTTCTCGATATCCATAAGTTCTAAAATTTTTAAATTGTCACCGATGTTCACCATCTGTCTAATACTATTAATTAAAAAAATTATAACTTTGTTGGTGAATGTCAATTTTCAAGGTCATCGCCAAATTCACTTGGCACCCTTAATAGTCGTGAGAAGAATAAAAGTGTTATCAATCAGCACATCGACACTCTCGAACGATGTGAAAACGTAAATTGATTGGAACAGGGCATTCGTGTAGAGGAGAAATAACATGACGTAGGTATAGCAATCGTAGAGCCTCGTCTTCCATCCTTCTTGCCAGTTCGCCGACCGACAGAAGCCCAGCAACTGGAGAATGACAAAACTGTAGGGCAGCATCGTGAAGGGTCAGGTGAGTCGCCCCTACCGGAGAGAATTCCAGGGCGACTTTTTCCTCGATTTTAACTCTTTTTTATTTCCACGTGGAACTTGGACATTATTCATAATCAGCCAGGAAGTTCTCAAGGGGCTACTGTCAACCGTCCCTTGCAAGTGTTTTCTTATGCACCGTCCGTGCATTTCTTTCGCCGTTAATATGCAAAATTCAGAGATTCGTTGAGCGTTTTTTTCCTTTCGTAGAAAAAAAAATTGTGAGTCTTCATCGTTCCGCGATCGTGGACTGAGGGGAAAATTTGTTCTGCCGGAAAATTATAATATGTATTCCCCTGAAGAGATCTTTTGTCGTGTTCAGTCAATTTACTTGTGGACAAAGAAGAAAGTTCCCACCGAAACATGATAATTTTCGTAGTAGTAATTGGTCTCGGGAGACATTTATGTCTTTCGGGTAAATACATTCGCTCTACAGAGAATGTTATGAGGCTCTGGTTTTATCAAGTGAATGTTATTGAGTAGTGCATATCTTTGTCCAATAAACACTTATAATTTCCATGGAACAAATGATAATTTCAAGAGGAAACTACAATTTTCTTGACGAAAACTGTGTTATTGGCAAAACTAAATAATTTCGAGGGGAGCAGACGAGGCTGAGGGCCAATCCCCTGAGGGTGAAGAAGATTTATGTGATTGAGGACCACATCAACAGCACCCCTGCGATGAAGGGGGGTCGGAGCAATGTCATCATGGGGCTGACCGAGAACAATGAGGACTCCAGGGTTATCGAGAATGCTTGGAGGGGGGCGGAGGCCTTCCACTACCTGTTACTTGCGCACAGACAGATCTACAGCGGAGAATTCGATGCTGCGATGAAGACGTCTTTGAGGCTGAGGGAGTACGAGGACATCCTGGATTCAGAGGATGTTTATTGTCTGCTTGCTCTGTCGAGCTCGGTCAACAGGGCGTTCTCCACTTGCTCCAAGGCGTTCATCAAGCTTTTATATCTACACGACAACGGAGCCATCCGAAAAGATCATGATGAAGTGCCTGAAATCCCCTCTGGTTACCCAATATACCTCGAATCTACTTCTGATCGCCCGGCGGACCCCACGCAGGTACAAATAAATTGATATTCTCCCTCCGCGATGGCAATTTTTTTTGGATACGTTGGGGTGAGCACTTCATAATTTTCTAAAACAATACGCGTGAAGGAATTCAACAAAAAACTTGGCGCTCTATATGAAAACAATTGCATTTTTTATAAATGAGTATGTATATGAGATATTTTCATTCTGAAAAGGCACCGTCTGGTGTGAATTATGCGCCTCTTGAGCCAAATATTTCGTTGCTGATGAAAGGAGAGCAATTATTCATGTTTGAGACTTTTAAATTCGAACCAAACAAATTCTTTTTTGGCAATTTTCAACTAGCGATTTTGTTGGCCCAAACAAGACTTGTTTGAGAACGTGTTTGTTTTTCTCTCAGTGTATGATTCTCAAGTCCATTTCCCCTGGCGAAAATGATAGTTCGTTTATGGATATGAATTGTGATCACTAGAAATAACTTTTTTTTTATAATGAAAATGAATACACCTTACCTTCGCATTGTGGAATAACCGACCAACTTCCGTCAGTGGCACAGTAAACATCCTGAACATTCGTCAAATGGTACCCATTATTACAAATATATACTAGATGCGTTCCGGGGACCATGTGCACCCCCTCTCGAGGCTCGCAGTGGTCGCTACTACTCGGGCATTGGGAGGAGTGCAGCTTCCAGTAACCATTCCGAACCTCTGGAGGTCGTGAACAACCCCTCTGGGGTGTTGGCTTGGTTCGGTGCCTTTTCTCTGATGATTTAGTTGTTGTTTCCAAGTCTCTGCCCAACAATAGGGGCCATTCAACAATTACGTTACACGTTTTTTTAATTTTTCAGATTCTCTTCCTCGAGGGGCTACTCATTCTCTAATTGAGTGACACAATGATTTCGAAATGAAGTCGATTTCGGGTAATTTCAGTGATTTCGGAAAAAATGATTTCGGTGATTTCACGCGTCATGGGAGGTGATCTCATGATTTCGAATGATTTCATTAATTCGAAATTAGTGATTTCAGAAAAAAGGAAGTCATTGACATCGCGATGAATAAAATTAATAAATAATAGAGGCGGTGGAAAAAGGGTCCTATCAAATTATGAAAATCAAAACTGGCAATAATAACTGGCAAATAATAATGAATTCGTTTGATTCCACCGCCAATCTTGAACTAATGACGATGAACAGCGGTCCATTTTACCCCAGTCTCCACTAATAATCCACAAATTACAATCAATTTCAAAACTTGACGTTGGAAAACAAAAGTTACATAAATGATTTTACACATAGATTGTTATAACGTTAACTCATTTACTTAGAAATCTTTTTTAATTTCATCAAAAATTCTATCAGCAAGCCTCAAATCTCCACTCTCAGTGATCAGAGGAGGAGAAATTGTTATTCGCTATTGGCTTATATTAATGTAGCCGTGAGAACTCATTGGCTCCGGCTTTAAACTATTCAGACTTTTATCCAAAATATACCAATAGCAAAGATCACGTATATTTTTGCTATTACCACTGACACGAGCATATTCGCTCGAAAACTCCCTGCTTCGGAGAGTTTTCCCCTCTGAATAAATGAAATTCAGCGCATATCTTAATAAACAAGTAAAATATTTTTCCTCCTGAAATAAACACCGATCACCGATATCGATTTCCTTAAATTCTTTCACAAAATACTTTTCCTCGCTTTGCAAAGAGTTCTTACGCCGATAACTGGTACTTGTCGTTATTTCTACGTCCCTAACCCGCTGAATTCTACCACTACTGAGTTTTAAATGATCTTTATTAAACAACCAACATATTGAGGATTTGTGAACTATTGATTCTTGGCCTGAAGTATCTGAAACTATAACGAATGGACTTTCTGGATCTATACGATATAATCAGCACATACGGCATTTTTCTGGGAGCAAGTAAATATGGGATTCCCAGAAAAAAACAGTAGGGCTGTGAGTACGGTGTTTCATTATCATCGTTGGCATGCGTGTCAATTTCAAAATCACGAATTACTTGCACGGTTCACACTATGCCAGTGCACTAATGACTTCAGTAATTTCATTGATTTCGAATATTTTACGTGATTTCGGAGATGATTTCATGCCGGAATGACGCCGTGATTTCGGGAGTGAGTAGCCCCTCGCTTAAAGTAGCTCTACCCTTAAACTGTAAAAAAAAATTGCAGAACACTCGATTAGATTCGGAATTCTAATTTTTTTCTCAAGTTAATTATCGTTTTGGTTTTTCAAAGAAGAAATGTTTCAAAATCGGGATTTAATCCAGCGTCTTATGTGAAAATCAACATTTTCATTGTAATCAAAGATTAAAATCTGATTTTTTTTTCATTAGATGTGAAAAAATCAAGATTTTTTTTGACACCTCATAAAAAATAATCCACCGTTTTACAAACAAGTTTTATTATTTATTTATGAGGGGAATGTTTGAAAAAATATTAATATTTTGCGAAATTTAATTTAGATAATACTGACTGGGTATGAATTTTTTCAAATTTCTTTCATGAAAAATTTCTTTCTGAAAATATTCAAAAGTCCAGCGTAACCTGGTCGAAGGGAAGAGCTACTGTAAATACTATTCGCGATCGCAACATAGATGTGGGAGCCATCAAGTGGTCTCTAAACTAACTCCTCTTGGGAGCCAACCAATGAGATCACGGAGAACTCAGTGGATCCCACACTGGGATCCAGTGGATTGATTGACGCTCATCATTGATTCACTCCCAGTGATTTCATTGGTTGGCCCCCAAGAGTAGTTAGTTCAAAGCCCACTTGGTGGCTCTCACATCTACGTTGCGATCGCGAACTTCAATGAAAAACATGAATAAATATTTTTCTGCCCTCCGGCCGGAAAGCGTCAACTTCCTGGCCGCTGCGCTAAACGAAGTTGCCACTTTCCGGCTACGTCGAGCAGAAAAATAGTATAGACCCCTTGGCCAGTAAATAAGAAAGCCTCAGATCACATGTTTGTTGACCTCGGCTTCGCCTCGGCCGACAATTACATGTGATCTGAGACATTCCTTACTTTACTGGCCAAGGTGTGTAATCTACTATAGTACTTTAAACAATTCTCACTCATATCCTATGCAAATCCCGGCGGTCTCATCAGATTTGTCAGGGCAATCTAATGATCCATCACAGACCTTGTATTTATCGATGCACTGACCCGTACTACATTTGAATTCCGTCGCATTGCAACCACCGCAGCTTGGCAACGTCTCGTCACTCCCGTCAACGCAATCAGTTTTTCCATCACAAATGGCTCTGCGACCGACGCAAGCACCGTCGTTGCACCGAAATAGATACGCAGAGCATTGATTAGGAAAGGGGGATGCATGTTCAGCTCCAGTATACCCCAAGGGCGTTTCTAAGGGATGAGAAGGTATGACGAAAGTCTCTTTCGACGCTTGATCCAATGATGAGATGTTGAAAACTTGTAGGAAAAGAGGGACATTCTCAGGGGATTATGAAACGGGTGGTATCATCTATGATCATAATTTATTTCTAATTGGACTATTGAGAAACTTATACACACGAAAAAACTCAATTTGAGACTTACAACAGTCTCAATTTAAAACTTGAGAATCTCAATTTAAACTCTCTGAAAGTCTCTAGTTGAGATTTCAGTAGCGAAATGGTCAAACGGTTTAAGTCAATTTAGTCTTTAGTTGAGTTTTCCAGAAATATCTTCAAATTTAAGGGCGATAGCGAAATTTTCGTAATAACCTTGTTTAAAACGTAGCTTAGTATCCAGCAGTTTAATAGTCAAGTAATTCGGCTATTTTCGAAAATAACCGGGACCGTTTGGGTCAGCGGTGAGAAGTCAACGAGACACCCGGGAAAGACGTTCAGTAGCGAAAAGTACATCCCCCGCCTTGGTAGAATCAAGGTGTCGTTCAAAGAATACCTCCGACGCATCACGTAAAAGTACATCTCCGACGCGTTATGTCAAAGTGTACCACCGAACAGTACATCAACGTGTTCAATTTTGAATTAATTATCAAAAACAATTATCCAGTGAATTATCAAATTAATTAGTAGTACATTATAACCGACTTCACTGAGAAAAAAATTTATTCCTTCCAAGAAAATGTTATTGGTGATATCTTTTTCATACTCTTAGTAGAAGAAAATATCTCTTTTGGAACGTATTTCTCCAGGCCAGTCATTTCCAGGTGCTCCGAAATCAGTTCCAAGCGTGAGAANCATATGACCTCGAAGAAACTCCAATAATAATTATTAACATTTGGAATTATTCCAATTTTCTTTACCTGAGAAAATCGCCAATTTGTAAAATCCGGAAGATATCGGAGAACATTTTGTCAAGGTCATATGTAGCATAATAATCAGATTGTTCAACATCTCTGTAATTTTTGAGGATAGAGTTGGACTCTCTGAAAATGACTGCCCTGGAAAAATTCGTTCTGAAAAAATATTACCTTCTGACGAGAATATCAATCCTTGGCAGGAATAATTTTTTCTCTCAGTGTTCGGTGGCCGAAGTGGTTAAATCGCTCGGCCGGATGGCGGGACCCGTGAGGCGCGGGTTCGAGTCCGGCTTGGGGTAGGGACTTTTTAATCCTTCGGACACACTCGAACGGTAGTCTAGACACCGAGAACCATCGGAGAAATCGTAGAAAAACATTCCTCGATGATGCAAATTAAGGAACTTGTCACCGGGAAAGTCTGTGCACAACGTACAGCTCCTGGGGTACAATGCGACACGGTTGGAGAGGAAGTCGACCCATGATAACCGCAAATTAAGGAACTTGTAAAAACCCGAGTAGGGTATACATGGCAAATAATCAATAAATAAATAAATACACACAGAAAACGTTGTGCAGATTATCTGCAATCTTATGCAGGTTTTACACATAAGCTCCGCGAACCTCCCACTATGTGTAAAGTCTGCATAGTTATGCATGAAATATGCATAAAGTATGCATGAAATCTGCTAGTAACCAATTGCAGATTATCTGCACTATTTATGCATGTTCCGTCCATAAGAGTTCCGCAGAAAAAAAAGCCAGTACTCACCGAAACTTTAACGAATTGCGACTTCGACAATTCGGAATTTCATAGAGAAAGCAAGAAAAAATTGTAAATTCTAAATCAATAATTTAAGGGGATAATGGGACAAAATAGAACAGTAGAGGAAAGTGAAAGAGCGCTGTTTGTTGTATTAGTTTCGACTCTTCATAACGCTGTGGGTAGCTAAGGTTTCAGTTTGTCTCAGCCTCTCCTATAAAAGGTAAATAAGTTGAAGAAAATAAGTACGCACGAAAAAATTTAGTAGAAAATCCTCGCAAATTTGCTAGACAGTTCTTTTGAATTGTTAAATAGAAAATATTCTATTGATGCAGTTCCACATAAAAACGCAAGGTCAAAAAAGTCAATTACGGGGATTTTTTCGCTAATTTTTTTCTCCTGAGTGGTATGAGAGTTATTTCTCAGGTTGCATTTTAATGGTTTAAATGAGAACATTGCTGAAACTTGAAAAAGTAAGAATTCATTTTCTTCGTATATCCATCAAAAACGTTGTTTTTCACGTTTTTAGCTTAGAAATGCCCCTTGTACCACAGTTTTCATCCGATTTCAACTTTTTTTTTTTATGTTTGCTATACTCCAACGAACAAACCCAAGTATCCGTTTTGCTTTATATTTATCAGATAATGAGAAAATGATTTTTTTAGTTTCTATTTTTTTTCCTCTTTTTAGCAAATGCTAAAACTAGTTGTTTTTCGTTATTCCACGTTGTAATCATACGTAATCGAAATATTATAACAAAAAAAAATGGGGGAAAACAACGAATTTTAGCATTTGCTAAAAAGAGGAAAAAAAATAAAAAGTAAAAAAAACATTTTCTCATCATCTAATAAATATAAAGTAAAACGGATACTTGGGTTTTTTCGTTGGAGTATAACGAACATTAAAAAAAAAAAAGTTGTAATCGGATGAAAACTGTGGTCCAAGGAGCCTTTTTAAGCTAAAAACGTGAAAAATGACGTTTTTGGTAAATATACGGGGCAAAACGGTTCGAGTCCGAAATTTTTCTCACTTTTTTATATATCCCTTCATATATCAAAAGTCATCCAATGGCTGTTGAGGCCGAGTCGAGACTTTCAAATTTCACCGCGGTCTCCCCTTAAAAATTTTTTTTCTGAATGTTGTTTAAAACTTTAGAAATTCCTCGATTATTTTGGAAAACTCAAATTTTATTCAAATTTCCAGAACACCTAAGAATTTTATTCAATTTTTTAGCAATTCCGGGAATTTCTTCAGAGTTTCTAGAAACTCCTTGAATTCACTTAACATTTCCAGAAACTCCCTGATTTTTCTCGAAATTTCTAGAATCTTCTTGCATTTCCTTGAATTTTCTAGAAACTCCTTAAATTTTCTCGAAATTTCTAAAAACTCCTTGCATTCCCTAAAATTTTCTAAGAATCCCTGAATTTCCTCGAAATTTGTAGAAGTTTCTCAATTCCCTCGGAATTTTTAGAAACTCCTAGAATTCCAACGAACTTTCTAGAAACTCTTTGAATTTCCTCGAATTTTCTAGAAATTTCTTGATTCCCTCGAAATTTCTCAAAGCTCCTTGAATTCCCTCGAAATTTCTAGAAACTCCATGCATTTTCTTGAATTTTCTAAAAATTTCTTGAACATTTCAGAATTTTCTGGAAACTCCTTGAATTCTTTCGAAATTTCTAGAAACTCCCTGAAGTCCCTTGAATTTTCTAGAAAAATCTAGACCTGTAAGCTCAATTTCACAAAACGACTCCTCATAACGAAAACATAGACGTATCCTCATCAAAATTTTGCCCTTATGTGTAAATCATGCCAAATCTGTGCGGAAAGTACACATAGATGTGCAGATAATCCGCATAAAAATTGTGTATTTCATGCATAGCTATGCAGATAATCTGCATAACTATGCATGATTCACGCACTATTTATGCATGATTTGCACATAAGAGAGTGACTTCGGCTTATGTGTGAATCCCGCATAACTATGCAGATTATCTGCACACTTATGTGGATAGTCTGCACAGCGTTTTCTGTGTGTAGTAGTACATTATCAAGTGAATCACATAATCATTTTCTGAGACCTTCAACAAATTAATATCCAGTATATCACCTACGTGTAAATATCATCTAGACGAGTGGATTGAATCCACAAATAAATGTGATTTTATTGAACTCGTGCATCATTTAATTTCACTAGCACACACAATGAAAATACTTCCCAAATCCATCCTAAAATTAGCAGCTCACCAAACACACCTTTTTTGTAGAGAAAATTGGGTGCTACTAAAAAGGTTATGAGAAAATTTTTGCTATCTCCCTTAGATTTCGAGATATTCACTGAAAACTGGCCAATAGCCAAAATCGACTTAAACCGTTTGACCACTTCGCTACTGATTTCAGTGTCTCAAGTTAAACTCTCAAAATAAAGATTTTTGTTTCTCGGTGTTACTCTGACCTCGAAATGGGATAACTGGTGGGCACTCTGGAATAGTTTTCCCCTTTTCCACCCGAAGAATAATGTCTTGTATCCATGATATGTGATGCGATACGTCTGTATACAATGTAGACTTATGGTTATCACACGTCCTCGCATTTTCAGTGGAATCAATTCTGATTATGACGCTCAAGATGCCTCGGAGGTACCACAGATTATCCTTTTTGAATGCTAGACCACTTCCGCTGTCTCCAGAGCATACAGCAGAGCCTAAAGACAATCAGCATAAATATTTTCCATCGTTCGTTTTTTTCATTTTGATCTTTTTTTTCGTCGAATCATCACCGTTTGCGTATCCAGTGCAGAATTTATCTCCGGTAACAAAAGCTTGAGCACTAAAAATTGCACTCTGTCGAATGCAGTCATTTTTGGGTAAGAATGGCACTAGTGATTTTTTAAGAATCGGTCGGGAACTTTTGCCTTTCGGGTTCTCAAATCCTGCTATCAGCCCATATTCACCCGGTTCCGGGGATTTTGCATTCTCCTCGAAACAGATTGGGAATAAGTTTGGCGTGAACATGAGACGTGGTTCTATTTCAAGAATTGCAACGTCATTATCGTGCTCGTCTGCTACCCCCCGATAATTACAATTTTTATAAATTTTCTTCACCTGAAAGTAAGTCATCATTTAGTGGGATCGTTCAACCTTGTATTGATAGATTAACGTAAAGATAATTGGATATTGAGGGTGGGAATATACAGCTCTATATGGATGCAATGTGTTGAATTTCATTTTTTCAAAAATCGTTCTCTCGAAAAAATGTTCCGAACGGGAGACCGAGATGAGATAAATTGACTCGGAGTTAGCACGAGAGGAGTCGATACTGCATGTTACGAGAGTGAGACGAGACTCAAGATTTCCGTGTTCATTGATACCGAGACCATCTCTCCAAAGTATTGTCTCGTCAAGTCTCTTGCGCCATCACTACCTGAACTACTTGCATGGATATTCTCAAATCTGTGAAAGTTTCAAGTTGAAATCTTGAAAAATCTCAACATGAGACTTTCAAAAGGCTTAATTGAGGTCGCGAAGTCTCAAATAGAATAGGGTTCCAAAATTAAGGATGTATCACACCCTTTTCGCCAAAATTCATGTTTTTTGAATTTTTCTGGTAAATTGGTGGTCGGATTGACGTGAAAAAATATACCATTTTTGCGTTTTATCATTACATTATGACTCACGAAATTTCGTGATCGTGCAATCATTTTCCTCCGCTTTTTCTACAACTTTTAGGAAATTCACAAAACTTTAAAAAAAATGCAGGAAAATGATTGCACTACCTCTAAGGTTCGTGAGTCAGTCAATAATGATAAAACGCAAAAACGGTATATTATTTCGCGTCAACCCGATCAATAATTTGCCGAAAAAATAAAAAAAAACGTGAATTTGGGTGTAGTACATCCTTAATACTTTTGAAAATCTTATTTTAAGACATTTGAAATCTTAAAATAAGGTATTACAGTAGAGGCTTCGTATAAGATACCTTAGGGACAGTACACGGAGAAATATTCAATAAAAATAACGTATCTTTTCCGGAATTCGACAGCGAAATGTGGTTGTAGGAAATTTTATGGAACTGTCACGAAATTTTTCCAGAGCGTTCGGTAATTTTTATCTGAATCTCCAGTGAAAAATTACGATACCGTCACTTAAATTTTCTGAGTCCATTCCGTAATCGGTGAGTGAATTGAAGTTCCTTAATTTTTAATGAATATTTCTCTCCGTGTAGGAGAGTGAAATTCCGGGCACCCCTATGCCCCCACTACGCGCGCCCACAGAGGAGAAAAATAGGGATCAGCGGATTTTAAATAAGATACCTCGTTCGTTGCGCCCGAATTCAATAAAATTTTCATTTTTACTGAATGAATATCGATAACTAATCAATTTATATGTGTTTAATGTCTTGAATTTGTATCGTACGCGTTCCCTTTTCTCTTTAAACATGACCCCGCGTGATAGAATGGCAGTTGATGTTGGGGGATTGTTGGTGGACTCGAGAATAATCACAGACGAAAAATTACGATTTTTCGATGGGGGAAGTGAAAGAAAAAATCAATGTATATTTCCATTACTTGAAAACAATGGTGTGGCCCCCCCTTAAGGTCATTAGACCCTCATGATCACTTCGTTTGTCTCTTCCGTTTGACCCTTCACACTGTTTGATCCCCATAACTACTCTCTTCCCTTTGAAAAATGACCGGGATGCACCATAGGTATCTTATATGAAGCCCACGAAACTTAAACATTCGGGAGGGGATAAAAGTGCCGAGAGTGGGGGGCCTCGAGCGCTCGAAGCGCGAGGTATCTTATGCGGGGTCCATATCTAAATATTTTCCGTCAAATAAACTCCGTCAAAATAACTTTACGTCAAAAAAACTTGGTTGAAAAAAACTTCATTAAATAAACCCAACACAAAAACAACTTCTCTCATAAAAAATTCCATGAAAAAACAACTCAAAAAACCACCTGAAAAATAATCAATGATGAAAGAAAAAAACCAACGACTATCAATGAAATTGAACGAAACTTTATTAACAAAATAAATGAGAAGCAGACAAAAAGAAATTATGCAATTAAAGGGTGATATTCAGAGCAATTCCTTTCAAATATTTCATGTACGAACGATTAGCGTAATCACGAACACCAGCACTCAAAAACAAAAAAACAAAAAAATATTCAGGTTTTTAACAAAGTTATTTGTACAGAAGTTGTTTTTGAAAGAGTTTTTTTTATGACAAACGTTGTAATCGTAAAAGTTCAAAAAACCGAGTTTTTATGACGAATTTTTTTTGACGGAAAATATTTAGACGTGCTCCCCTTATACGAAGCCTGTACTGTATTTATTTGGGTGTGACTATTACTATGGTGATAGCTATCGGTGGCACATACATGTAGTCGTAAAGCCCTTTCATTTGCGGCTTTAATGAAGAATTCACTGGGGTTTTCCAGTTCACGAGTTTCTTCATTGAACATACAGTGAGCGCCGGTGATTAATAACTCATCTGTAATTATCGTTGCTCCGCAAATAAATATTGTCTTGCTATTGGTAGAGTTGATTCGGTATATTGATGTGTGCCATGGGGGGTTCATCAAATGGATCGAGGATCCACTTACTGAAGAGGTTCTGATGTCTTCCGGGAAACTTGTTCCACAAGCTGCAATATATTTTTCAATGTATGCATTTAGAGTATAATCCATACATAAAAAAGCTGGCTAATCCCATAATTTTGAGTCCGTAATGATAAAAAAAAATTCCGAATATGAAGACCATATTTATTTAACAGAAGTACGTGATTTTCAATGGCTTCAATCAAACCACAAATCAGTAGCGAAGTGGTGAAACGGTACAGGTCAATTTTGACTATTGGCCAGTTTTCAATTAATATCTCGAAATCTAAGGGAGATAGCAAAATTTTTGTTATAACCTTTTTTATAGAGCCGATTGAGAGCTACAACAAATGTAATTACGAAAATTTCGCTACTTCTCTTAGATTCGGAAATATTCCTCAAAAACCCAACTGGGAGATAAGTTGACTTAAACTGGTTTACCACGTCGCTACTGAAATGATTTTGAATTTTTGTTATTGCTTCCATTCGAAAGCAAAAACTATCAAAAAAATAAAAAAATTATGAATTTTCTGTCAGTGGTCCGTTTTGCCCTACCCTCCCTTTGAATTCATTTATAGCAACCAGTTTCCGACATCCTGACACAATATATATTTGCATATAGAAATTCTATAGATTTCCATATATGACATTTGGATATTTCTATACGAATTATTTCTATACATAATATTTTACATAAATTTTTGTTTCCATTCGACAGATGTCTAAACGCTCTAGAGAAAAACGTAGAGAAATGTCGCAACTCCGTACGAAATGTTTCTATACATATGGTAGTGGGTCGTATAGTATCAAACCTATAGAAATTGTATAGAAATAATTTGTATTAAAAATATCCGTATAGAAATATCCGAATATCAGATACGAACATTCTATAGAAATTCTATACGCAATCCGTATAGAAGATTTCTCTACGATTTTTTCATGCGTGTATATATACACGTATGAAACAATGCTATAGGATGTCCTATAGGATATTCTATAGAAAGTCCTATGGAGAATTCGAACTAAAATTCGTGTAAACCAAAATTCAAGTCAATTGAGAATTACGTCATGAAGCCCTTTGAAAATTCTATGAATGAAAAAATTAAAGCCTCATTGTTTCTCATTATTTCTATTAAAACTGGAGTAACAAACTCATCAGCACCATAGATAAAGGCCCCTGGGGTTTTAAAATTTCAGTGCAGTTTCAGTGCAGGATTGTTAATTCAAGAACCCAATTGTTTTCGATTTAAGAAATTCTTTACTTGCAATAAGCAGATTTTTTCATAGGTAATTAAAAAAATTTTTCATCTGAAATTCAGAGAAATAATTTCTCACCTGCACATCGTGGAACAGGCGACCAAATGCCCCCATCGGTACAGTTAACATGTCCGTTGCCCAACAGACGATAGCCATTATCACAAAAATACACTAATTTCGTGTCTGCATTCATAGTTAACTGTTCTGGCTCTAGGCTGATGTTACAGTGTTTCTTATTCGCACACAGGGAAGAATATATCTCCCAATGCCCATTCCGAACCGGCGGTGGCAAGGGACAGGTGCTCAAGTCTCGTGGAATCCTTCTCCGAGTCAACGAACTTGAGACGATCTCCGGATAATCACAATCAGAATCGGTGAAAGCTCCAGCAGATATCAACAGTAATCCTAATGGCAAAAATTCAATCGTTGTGAAATAGGAAACGTTCAGGAATTTCTGGTGAAATGGTTGAACGAAATAAATTGATGCAATTGACGATCCATTCCTCGTACACTGAGAGAAAAACGACAACGTTCTGAAACAAGTTTTACTTGTTCCAAGAAAATATTTTTTTGAAAATTATTAAAAAGGATTTTTTGGGCCAAACATGCAGGGAGTGTGCCGGAATAAAAAATTTTTGTCGCAAAAATAGATTTAGTAGTTCAAAAAAAATTGCATTCTCTGTACACGCAAGAAATGTCATTTTCCAGACTGGCGCCTGAAAAACGCCATTATATGGGGGCTGCGCGCCCAGAAATTTGCGTTTTCCAGGTCCTGCGTCTGGAAAAATTTTGTTCCAGCCACGCCGTGAAAAACATATCATCCTCCCCCACGTACTTGCCATCAATCTTGCACGTGCGGGCGGATGATCTGTTTTCCAAGGCTAGGCTTGAAATGTACTATTTATGTGAAACAAGGGATAGTAGTTTTTCGTTTCGACTGTCTAATAATCCCAGGCAAGAAATGAACTCTTCAATGAAATAATAATAGTAATAATATTAGGGATAAAATATTTGTTGATAAATTTTCCTCTATGTGAGATATTTTCATCCTGAAAAAGCCACCGTCCGGTGTAAATTATCCGCCTCTTGAGCTAAGTATTTCGTTGCTGTCGAAAGCAGAGCAATTATTCATGTATGAGACTTTCAAATTCAAACCAAACAAATTGTTTTTTGGCAATTTTCAACTAGCGATTTTGTTGGCCCAAATAAGACTTGTTTGACAACGTGTTTGTTTTTCTCTCAGTGTATCTTCGAATATGAGGGACGGTGGGCAATTTTTGTATACGACACGCACGAAAAAACTTCAAAGAGAAAGCTAACGCATTTAATACAATATTCTATCAGTGTTTCGGTCATTCTTTTGGAAAATTCTGGATTTTTACCCCTGAGTTATATTTGCGCATATATTTTCTATGTATAAACCAAAATCTAATTAATCGATTGGGGATTGAGTCACGGAGGAGCCTGTAATAATAATAACAATAACAATAATAATAGCAATAATAATAATAATAATAATAATAATAATAATAAGACAATATAATAATTATAAAACTGAAAAATCAATTATTAGAAATAATTCTTTTCAGTAAAATATAAGAATTTTTATACACTAAAACTGAAGTAGTAAACTCATCAGTACGATAAATAAAGGCCCCTGTCATTTTGAAATTTCAGTGCCGTCTCCCTTAATTAATGAACTATTACATAATTAACTCGCGCGTCTTGTAGTGCCGATGTCGCGAGTTGAAGGACACGCGATAAACTTGACATGTAGTCAGTCCGGAGAAACTTCATTTTCGCTGTGATTTTCCTCTTTCTACCAGAAATTTGACAGGAGAAATTTCCGACGACGTTGGACGTTTTCTCTATTTAAGTACTGAATAACAATTATCTCTGGATTCCTCATTATGGAGTAGTGAAGAATATCTTACCGAGGCTCATCAAAACATAAACACTTGAATTACATGACTTAAACATGTTTGAATGCTGATTAACGCATCAGAATGACGGAGGAGTTCCTCTCAGCGTGGCAGTACCATCAACACTGATTTTTCCCGATAATAAACAGCTGGTTGGATGTGTGCGCAGGCAATCTTCGCAACAAGTCGAGGGGCTATTCACAGGCGTAATCCTGGTGTCACTCGCTGATGTAATCAATTGTAATCCTAGTGAAATCGATGCAATCATTGTAATCACATGATTACCATATTTGTAATCAAGTTTTGGTAATCAAGGGGTAATCATTTGTAATCAGTGTAATCTTTCGTAGTTGCTCCTAGTGAGACCGTGAATTTTGTTTTTGAATTTTCGAGCGTGTCATTTCTACCAACGGTGAGTCTCAGAGATCCCTGGATCAATTTTTCTTGGAATCCCAGATGTTTATGGTTCAAAACCTTGCATAGCCAATGCATTTTGCACAGAGCATTTGTCCGTAGAAAATTTATTCAACAGAGTTAAAATTTCTTATTCTGGAGAACCAATGACTGAATTATCTCTGAATTATCTGCTGGTAAGTTTCATTCTCCATCAATTGTAGATATTCAGCAAATTTATTTTGCTGACAGCACTTAATTATGAGTGCTGGAGACTGCATTCTTCTGTTCTAATCCCCGCCCCTCCTTCCTCATTTCTTCGCAGGCTCTAATAATTAATTATTCCATCAATTCATATTCAATACGAGGCCATTTTTTGTGATTTCTATGATTACAGATGTTTGGTAATCACAGAATGTAATCGACGAAATTATTTATAATCATGTAATCACATTACATGATTATAAATAATAATTTTTATAATCATGTAATCACAGAATGTAATCGACGAAATTATTTATAATCATGTAATCACATTACATGATTATAAATAATAATTTTTATAATCATGTAATCACAGAATGTAATCGACGAAATTATTTATAATCATGTAATCACATTCTGTGCTTTTGGTAATTACGGCACATAGGCACTGGTAATCGGTGTTATCAGTCCCGTAATCCTGGGTAATCGATTACATTTTGTAGTCGCTATGTCTCCCCTTTCGCCTGTGAAGAGCCCCCTGAGTGAAGTGGTTAAACGGTCTAAATTAATTTAGACTTTAGTTGAGTGTTCTTGAAATATTTCCAAATTTAAGGGAGGTGACGAAATTTTCATAATAACCTTGTTAGAGATGAGGCTATGATGTCAGGGCGGATTGGGGGCAAGTGTTATGGGAAGGTTGAAATTAAAGACACGGAGATTACAAAAAACACTGGTGGTGTACTTTATTAGTGGCGCAAGCCACGCGTCTTGACTTTAGGGATACACGAATCGGTGAATGTCTTAATGTTAAATTCGATAATAGTCTTTACACTGCACTTGATAATTTCTTGATATTAAACTTGATAATTGGCTCAAAATGATTGATAGTTAACTCGGAATTAATTGATAACTGAACGAAATAGAGACGCTACAGAGAGCGCTAGACTCAATACATTAAGGTGATGTACTCGGTTGAGCGGTTACGTTGATACTGTACTCAATAGGCAATTCTCTAACTAGTAGATGTATATTCTTTGATAGATAGATTGATACTGAAATTCATATTTGGCGATTTGCAACGTGCCCGTGAACCCGAAGGGTTCCGAGGTCGGTAGAGATTTTCCGTTAAGCCCGATAACTTCTGATAATGACTTATTTGCTACTTCTCAAACAAACCCTTTTTGTAGAGCGAATTGAGGGGTACTAAAAAGGTTATGAGAAAAGTGTTGCAATCTCCTTCAGATTTCGAGATATTCATTGAAAACTGGCCAATAGCCGAAGTCGACTTAAACCGTTCAACCACTTCGCTACTAAAATAAGTTTCTTCTTTTTCAAGTTCAATCAATATAAACGACATTCATCATGGAATTAATATTCTTCATTTATTACTTTTTACATATTATGGAAAAACAAAAACAAAAGGGCGAACGAAGTTATCACCCCAACATCAGTAATTAAAAAATTACCACACTGCACATTTCTTCAGTGGGTTCATTTTAGAGCCCAGGGGACATTCAAAGTCCTTAGAAAACTCTGGAGAGTTTGATAGTGATCCCAAGATACGGAATTCTGGAGGACTGTGTTTGCCATTTTCGATCTGCAGCTTGAGTTGTTCAGGTCGCTGAACACCACACCCAATTTGGGCTGAACTTATCCAGAACATTTGTTCTGGGGTGTAGGGGAGGTCCGGAAGCATTTGCTCTTGCCCATTGTGCGCTGACCAGTCTTTGTAGGCTAGGTAAGCCGGTTTTATGCCGCCGATATCACCTATGTTTTCTCGTTGAGTAGATATTCCATTCAGCTGCAGATAACAGAAAATTAAAATGTCGATGAAATTCTTCATTGTTTTGTGATTATTTGAAGAGCGAATGGTTCCAATAGGGAAATCAACAAAGACCTTTCTTTAGTCAGCAATATTGCTAATCAAAACTATTTCATCACATCGCCCTAAAACAGACGTCCGGTGGTCGCAATGGTTAAATAACCAAAATAGAAGAAGAAGAAATAATTTCCGTCCTCCATAAAATTTGTTTTCATTCATTAGAATAAAATAAAAAAAATAACAAAAAGTACTGAAACAATGTCAGTATTGAATATTTTTAATGAATTTGAATAGATAAACTAGATAATGTGGTAATCAAAACAAAATCAACCGATAATAATACTTTACTCCGACAAGAATATAGGGCCTTTTTTTTCACTATCAATTACACACACAAAAAAATTACTGTTTTTTTCTTTTTTTATAATTTTTTTTTGAGCGCCTCAACAAAAAAATATCCAAAAGCTCCTGAAGAGAGCCTTAAAACAACAATACAAACATGAAATTAAACAAAATAAAACACATCACCGAAATAAACACGAGAGCTACAAAGTGGCCATTGTTTACTATAGCACAAATAATCTCCATTAAATTTTTTTATATACCTGTTTTTTTTCTTTCTTGTAAATGACTGTACATATGTAAATATACTGTCGTCTATTCAATAAAAACATGGTTAAAAAAAAAAGTCGCAGTGGTTAAATCGTTAGTTCGGTTTGACTACTTAGGGGATCGTGGGTTCGAATCCCGGTCCGGTCGGTTTTTTACCATCTGACTACAGGCGTTAGAGGCTCGAAATGGTGGCTGGGCTTCGGATCTCGGCTTGGGGGAGGCCTCAACTTCTAACTACAGGGGTTGGAGGACTCGCCTGGGGTGGTTTCTGGTGGGGCCCATCTCACCTCGGCTCAGGGAGTCTATTCTCGAGTTGAAATCGTGCGTTCGATTTCAATAGGTCGCATGCGACTCGTGGTATGCCTTATGGACCGTATGTGACTTGTTGAAGTCGAACGTACGATTTCAATTCGAGAATAGGCTCCCTGGACTAACGGGAGGTTCCTAATAGAGAAACCGACTGTACTGACAGAGGTTTTCTGTGGTTCCCCTCTGTCTCTCTCGTTCGCGAGGGAGCAAATGCGGTACAGTGTAGCAAAGTCGGCCACAGCTGCACGGTTAGGTAGAGATTTAGATCGCCGAATAAAACTGGGGTTTATACAAGTCATAATCATGTTTATAAAAATTGAATATTACGAGAACAGTCCACAGAATATTACATGTAATTCAATCTGTCAAAATAGACAATTTCAATTCAATTCAATTTCAATTGATTTCTGGCGTAAATGAAAAAAAACATCGCCCTAAACTTAGTCTCAATCAAACGATTCAATGTTGAGTGTGAATAAATAAATGTTTCATAACATCATTAGTCAAACCCTTCAATTAATTTGCTTACGTTCATTCTGAATTTGTCGACCCAATAGTTTCCATATTGATCAATAATGCATTGAGCTTTTGTGAGGAACTTCTTCGTAGTAGAAGGTGACCACAGAACTAGCTTTCCCTTTTTATCGAGCCAGTGTTGCATAGTTAAGCCATGAGTGATTTCGTGACCAATGACACTACCAATGGCACCATAGTTCATGTACCTCGGTCGATCATTGCTGAAGAAGTCGCCTTGAAGAATAGCAGCTGAGACCACTGAAAATTTTCCCGATAAACCAGTGATTCTTTCATGACAATTATTATGGAATAGGAATAATGGGTTTCTGTTGTGATATGATATTCTGATTGTAGATTAACGAGTAGCCTTGGTGAAGAACTTCTACGGAGCTCGGGATGTCATCATCGCGGAGAACGATTTTTTGCCGTGGCGAGCGCAAAACCCACATTTCTCTCCTGCTTCGTTTTGCGGGAGGGAAATCTGATTTTGCGCCTGTACCGAGGTAAAAAATATCGTTCTAACCACGGGAGGTAAAATAAAGGGTAAATGAAGGACCCTTACCCTCCCCTTCGGCTCGGGTGGTAAGTCTGCACATGGGCACGGCTCCTTTATTATTTTACCTCCCTTGGTCAAAAATCGTGGCGTCAGATATCACCTTATTCAACATTACCATAAGGCAAATTTCATGGCAATCGTATGGAATCATTAAAAAATTCTCGCTAGTTTGCCTAAAAATTATGGAGCCAATCAGAAATCCCACCCAATCTGCCAATCTCTCTCTAGAGTATCTCTACTCTTCACGTCATCTTGAATCCCAATCATGGTGGTCCGTCTTATTTTCCTCAACATTTATTCCCCGATTTTTCTTTCCCGACATTTGTTCCTCCCCAAATTTTCCTCGCATCAATTTTTCCTATGCTACTTTTCCCACGTCATTTTTCCCCAACTTTTTCCCTTTCTAATTTTCTGATTCATTTTGTATATTTTTTGAGGGATTTCGATGTACGAGTGAAGCGAATCGCATCCGAGTTTACTGAGAACGATTACATTGCAATTGATGTCTTGTTTCATCGATAAAGAATTGAAAGAAATTAATCAAATTCGTAATTGAAATAGTCTATTTTGACTGATTGAATTGCATGTAATATTCTGTGGACTGTTCTCGTAATATTCAATTTTTATAAACATGATTATGACTTGTATTAATTTTTTGTTCATTCACTTTACTGTTCTTAGGGATTATTATTTGCTCAGGTATCGATGAGAAAAAGAGGAGACAGTTTGTTTTAGGAAAATCTATCGGGGAAGAAAGGGATATGGAAGAAATGGCAATTGGAAGAAATGTCGTGGAAGAAAAGTCGTGGAACCCCAATTATCATATATCCAGAAAATTAATCACTCACCTATATTATTCGCAGTTGGACAATAGAGCGCATTAGCCTGTGCTGTTAGTGCACCATAGCTCACCCAACTGTTCTCTTTCAAAGGTTTTCCCAATGTACTAAATGATTTTTCAGTATCGAATAATGTTATATTCAGAATTGCCTGTAGGTAATGCTCGTCGGTAAGTTCCAAACCCTGATAGTACTCCTCGAGTTTCCTATCATCAAGAAGCTCATCAGGATAAGCAATGTGGCTGGTCATGGACATTGCTTTCACAAACGCACTCAAAATTGTTTCACTATCCATCCAGTCGACCATTAACAGAATCTGATGAAACTGCTCCCTGATGTTGTGAACCATCTGCACGGCATTCCTCTTAGACTCCTCTTGGAAATACTTGCGAACGTACAGAGCTCCAACACTTATCGGCAGCTTCTTTGAGACAGCTCTCACGCATTCCTTCCATCGAGATTCTTTATTTTTAATTCCATATTCAGCGCTCGACAATAGAAACGTTCGTTTCCTTATTTCATCATTCAGATAGTTGACTGATGCGGCTACTGCTTTCCACATAACATAGTTAGCTTGGGTTCGTTTTGGTGTTTTTTCGATCAGTTTCACGAACTCCGGAATGTAGTCAGGGATTATGATGTCTTGGCTATCATCTACTTGGGCGGAAGATGGAAGCAAGCGGTTGAAGTACTCCTTCCAGGGAATGCTAGGGTACAACTTGGAGAGCTCGGCGATCGTGATGACGTTGTAGATAACTATGCTCGGACGACGTTTCTCCTTTGATATACGCACCTGGAGAATAAGTAAAAATTATGTGCATTTAGATACACTGGAACTTCCATAATTGCACGCGTCCGGTAGTTTGGGTTCTCGGAATTTGCACTTAGGAAAGGACCCTTCTTCGCCAGCGAATGAATGAGAGCGCTGAGTCAGAAAGACATGCGTGAGGGGACAGTGGTGGGGGAAAGAGCCGCTAGGGTGGCCTGCGCGCGAGATTCTCCCGCATTGGAGAGAGCAAGCTTAGACCAAGGCTTCAACCAAGCTTGGCCCAATATATTATAGCTAGGTAAGTTCAAGGTTACTGATTCTATGCCAGTTCAAGCTCTGCTAGCAAGGTTGGACCAATCATGGTTCAAGCTTGGGGTTCCAAGCTTCAACTTTGGGGCTTTAAACCAAGCTTGGCCTAATATGTGATACCTAATTTCCACGATTGAACTATAGCTACACTGAGAAAAAAAATTACTTTTGCCAAGGAATCATTTTCTTAGGAGAGGAATTCTTTTTTTGCGGAGCGTATTTCTCCAGGCCAGTCATTATCAAGGAGTCCAAGTCCATCTCTAAATATTACAATTATGTTCAATTATGGAATGATTATATTACATATGACCTTGAATGAACTCCATTGACAATTGTTAACCTTTAAAATTATTTCAAATTATTATACGTTAGAAAACCTCGAATTTGAAAGAATTGAAAAATGATAAAGCGTGTTCATTCAAGGTCATATGTAGCATAATCATCTCATTATTCAACATAATTGTAATATTTGGAGATGGACTTGGACTCCTTGATAATGACTGGCCTGGAGAAATACGCTCCGCAAAAAAAGAATTCCTCTCCTAAGAAAATGATTCCTTGGCAAAAGTAATTTTTTTTCCCAGTGTATGGGCTAAGCTTGGTATTATAGCTTGACCTCGGAGCATCCGACCAAGCTTGACTGAACATTGGTGCCCAGCGCAAATCCAAGCTAGAGGGATTGAAGAGTTTCAAGCTCGGGTTTCAAGACCGCTAATAGTATAGTGGTTAATAGGTAATTTATAAAATCTACATATGGATACATTATCCTCACGAAAAATCACTCACATTTTTTGAAAATAAGTAGCAATTGAAAGATGTTGGAAATTGTATAGGCGTTTTATATGTATTTCCCAGTCTCATTTTGCCCCGGTCTCCCTCATTCATTATCATTCTATTTCCAGTATTCACTATCGAATCGTTCATTATAATTACCTATTCAAATTGTTAATCCAAAAAAACTAGGTTCTGAAAAAAAATATCCCGGGAAGGTTTATGCAGACGATACGACGTATGAATCAACAGAAGTGCGCGGTAGTCTAGCGGTTAGGGCGTAGGATTAGTAATGGTAGCATTCCGGGTTCAAGACTCGTCAGAGTAATTAGCGATAACAAATTCGGCTTTTTAATCGATGATCGCATTAGGGATTAATAGTGGGGCAATAACCTATTATGAAAGTAATTAAATAAAAGTTGATGAATAATTTTTCTATCATTTTTTTTCCCGTAATTGAGTATAGCGGCTGACCATAAGCGATGGCGTTTAGCTGAAGCTTGAACCATTGCTGCCTTCGTATGTATGAATATCCGAATAATGAAGCTTGGATTGGCTTAGGTTCAACTAGGGACCAAGTTTGAATAGAATCTGGTAGCTAAGTTTGGACGGAGTTTGGCGCCCAAGTTTGGGCGGCGCTTGGCATCCAAGCTTGAACTAGTGTTATAAACCAAGAATTAGCCACGGTTGGTGTAAGCTTGAACGAATGGTAAATTCCCATCTGGGAGAGCGAAAGAGATTAAGTAGGGAGAGAACGGGCATAGAGGGGAATTGGAATGGGAGGGCAACGGTTCCTCTCGTGCGGTGGGACAGTGTGCACTTACGAAGGCAGTTGTGGAGCAGTTGTGGAAGTCCCACTATACTGTGGAATGAAAAGTGTATCTCACAAGTTTATTCTTGAGGAGAAAAATTAACAATGAAATAAATTACGTCTAATTAAGTTGTGTAATTACGTTATGTAAATCTGCCTGGAATTGAAAGGCACTGAACAACTCCTTCTTAGCCAATTCTCGCTCAGCTCCAAGAATTACTGCTATATCCACCATGTACTTTTTATAAGCATCCGTTAATTTAGCGCCAAGTTTCGCCGTAGGAAATTCAGTCAACTGGAAAGTGGAAAAATATTATAAGAATGATAATTGATTCAGTAGTGCAGTCATAAAACAAGAAGAAATGCTTGAGTTAATATAAGTCATTCTAAAGGCTTATTATTCAATCATCCCAAAAAAACTTTTTTGTAGAATATAAAATACTATACAGGAAATGTGTTTCCATCATTTCCCCTGAATCGTCAACTGACAAACCAAATTCTCTACTACATTCATTGTTTATCTACTGAAAACGTAAATATACATAAAGAACTATTTCGGTCTTGTTCTTCGAGTCTGTTCTAAAGTGGAAATTCAGGAAATAGTTATATGAATATCCCAGCTCGCGGAGTTTGTAGATTGAATGGGTCCAGTTGAATTCTTCTTCCTTCCAGTCGTTTCCCTCTAGCACTGGCCATCCTCCAAGTTCCTTCAGGTGTTCGCGGAGTTGCTGGACACTCTGGGCTTCAATAGCCGCTAGAATTTAGCAAATATATATCAAGTTTGTACAAAATTCACCTCTTCTTTTTTCTGTGATTTTAACGAAGACGTCAGAAAACTTTGTCCTTCCGAATGGAAAATTTGAAATCGTTCAAATTCAAGTTTTGAATTTTTTGTTTTATATCAACCCACGATAATCCAAAAAGTCCGAAAATGCAATTTTCAGACCCTGTCCGTATGTATATGGGCACGTATATATATATATATATATGTGACCAAGTTTTTATTTTATTGTTTCTTTGATTAATTTTCCAGCGATTTCTTCCCATATGATGTTCTAAATTCATTCAATTATGCATGAGTAAAGTTTTTCTAATACCATTTTATCGAAGATACAAAGTAGCATAGATAGTATCATTCTTTCAAGTGATTTATACAAGAATTTTCACAAGAAATATAATTTAATTGAACAAAATAGTGTAAAACAATAGATGATATACGATAGGAGAAAATTATGTGCAAAATGACCATTTAGAAGTATATTGCTAATTTATGTATCAGCAAAAATAGCCTTTCTGTACTGCTTCTCACGATTTCTCGTCTGGGAATTGGTATTACATACTTCCCAAACTCGAAAACTTGAAAATCACTACAGAAAAATATTGTTCCTGGGCTGTTGCGATGGGGTTTTTTTACTCGTGTGGTTGGCCAGTCCTCGCCTACGGCTCGGAGGCCAAAGCCACACGAGTAAAAAACCCCATCGCAACAGGCCGGAAAAATACTAATGCTATATGAAGACGAAAGCAATTTCCCCCGTCTTCTTCATTTTCTTCTTAGGCTTTCTATGAAACGGACACTTTATGGATTTGCCACTATAGTTAGTCCAATTCATTTGAAAGATGTGAGAAGATGAAGGTTTGGTTCAAACAAATGATCATCTCCATCATAAATTATCGTACTCACTCGTATTCATACACGCTTTGTACAAGTTCTTAATAAGCTTGAGTGGTTTAGGTTCCATTGAAGGGCTGCGCTCCTCGATACTAATTCTCAACTGCTCCAGAACTTTGTCTTGAAGGAGGGTGTAGCTGTCAATCTTACTTTGATCGGCTGGCATCTGCGTATTGTTTAAAAATCCGCCGCAGGCAAATCTGTAGAAGTCGTCGCAAGGATCGACGTTCCTGTCCATTTTTTTTAATACCTCTGAGGCTGAGAAATAAGGGGGAGATCAATAGAATATATAACAATTAATTTGGGATCCTTGAGAACTCTTTTCGTTGTAGATTCGCTCAATCATGAATCATTTTGGAAGAATTCCTCGGGGAGGGTAGGGCAAAACGGATCAGACGGGCAAAACGGACCACTGACAAAAATAAATTGATAATTTTTGTTTTTGCTTCCAAATGGAGCAAATTCGAAATCATTTGTGGTTTGAGGTGATTAGCAAATCTGATCAAATTGCGGTCCAACACTTGTTGTCTATAAAATTGCTCCAGAACTTTGTCTTGAAGGACGGTGTAGCTGTTAATCTTACTTTAATCGGCTGGCATCTGCGTATTTTTTAAAAATTCACCGCAGCCAAATGTCTAGAAGTCGTCGCAAGGATCGACGTTCCTGTCCATTTTTTCTAATACCTCTGAGTATATGGACTCATCAGCTTGTCCTGTGGGCCGGAGTCTATACTATAGTATAGAGACCTTATACACATGTTTGTCATCTACCGCCCGGCCTGAGGGACAGTTTGGGTGCCGAAAGCTCCGTACTTGGCGGGTTAAAAAAAATCGAGAAAACTGTCCGGTTTTATAAAAAATTCGAAGATCTTTCTGATTTTCTCGAACATTTGAACATTTTCTAAAAAAATTCAATTTGTCATTCCATACAATTAAGGATATCCAAGTATTTTGGCTATTTTTGCCTTCGAATGACAACTTTGTAATCGTTCAAGTTTAAGTTTGGAATTTTTTGTGTTATTATCGACCCAGTATAGTCCAAAAAGTCTGGAAATGCAATTTTTAGACCTCGTCTGTATGTGTGCGCATATGTGTACGTATGTAACAAAGGTTTTCTTCACTTGCTCGCTAATGAATGGATGGAATTCAATCTTTTTTTTTTCAAATGTAGGTATAGGTGAGCCCTATCAATCGCCATTAATTAAAATTTACTTCATCGACTATTTTTTTTTATTTTCGAATTTTTTCGAAAATCAGTTGTCCCACGATAAGGAAAACAATTTCTGGATTGATTGAATGATGGCTTTAAAAAAATTGTTCGGATCTCCTTTTGACCGAGTTCAAAGATGAAGGTGATAGCAATAATCGTTATTTTTATTTATTTGAAAATTTGCAAAAATTTTGTACTTTTTGAAAATGGGAACCCCGAGGATATCTCTAAAATTATTGTTTTAATGCCATTGAGTCGACATTAAAAGATGATTACGATATCTATTTTGGTTGATTGGATTTTTACGATAATCGTTGAAAATATCGAATTTTTTAGGAATGCCCTTGAAAGTGAGCCATCTGATGGTTTCTTCAAATGTAAAATTTCAAATTTTATCGAAGGGCTGAGGGGCAAGATAAAACCCTAGAAAATACAATTGGTTGTATAGAAGAAAGGGATAATAAGAATAATGATGATGATAGCATTCAACTAAGTTGAAAATCTGACCAAATTAATTGAAAATAAATCTGATTCAATTTGATAAAATGAAATTAATAATAATAAATAATAATAATTATACAAGAAGGAAGAAAATTGTCGTATGTGCTTCTTATCGTATAAATCCAGAAAGTCCATTCGTTACAGTCTCAGATATTTCAGGCCAAGAATCAATAGTTCGCAAATCCTCAATATTTTAGTTGTTTAATAAAGATCATTCAAAACTCAGTAGTAATAGACTTCAGCGAATTAGGGACGAAGATATATCGAGAAGTATTAGTCATCGACGTAAGAACTCTTTGCAGAGCGAGAAAAAGTATTTTGTGAAGGAATTTAAGGAAACTGATATCGGTAATTGGTGTTCATTTTAGGAGGGAAAAATCCTACTGCTATATTAAGGTATCACGGACAACAAAATTTAATAGAAAAACCTATCGAATTCGTTAGAAAATTCTATTGAACTATTCATTAATTTTTGGCCTATTCTATTGAAATGGTTAATAGAAAATATTCAGTAGAAAAAGTCAATAGAATTCAATTTTTCTATATAACTTATCCTATTGAGATATTTTTCATCGAATTTCCTCGGCTCAAATTTTCCAAGTTTTTTCGTTTGATTTTCTTAATGAGAAGAAAATAAAAATAGAATGACAAAAATTTAGAATGAATGAAAAAGAATACAATATAATGAAAAAAACTATCGAGAAGTACTAGTGATGGACGTAAGAACTTTTTGCAAAACGAGAAATAGTATTTTGTGAAGGAATTTAAGGAAACTGATATCGGTAATTGGTGTTCATTTTAGGAGGGAAAAATCCTACTGCCATATTAAGGTATCACGGACAACAAAATTTAATAGAAAAACCTATCGAATTCGTTATAAAATTCTATTGAACTATTCATTAGTTTTTGGCCTATTCTATTGAAATGGTTAACAGAAAATATTCAGTCGAAAAAGTCAATAGAATTCAATTTTTCTATATAACTTATCCTATTGAGATATTTTCTATAGAATTCGCTCGCCTCAAATTTTCTAAGTTTTTTCGTTTGGTTTTGTTGATGAAAAGAAAAATAGAATGAAAAAAAATTAGAAAATTCGGGTCGAGCAAATTCTATAGAAAATATATGAAAAGAGTAAGTTACATAAAAAAATCAAATTCTGTTGACTTTTTCTATTGAACATGTCAATAGAATCAGCCAAAAACTAATAGAAAGATTAATAAAAATTCAATAGAATTTTCTAACGAATTCGACAGGTTTTTCTATTAAATTTTTTGGGGCGTGATGCGCTGAATTTCGCTTATTCAGAGGGGAAAACTCTGCGACGGAGGGAGTTTTCGAACGAATATGCTCGTGTCAGTGGTAAAAATACAGGTGTTCTTTGCCATTGATATATTTTGGATAAAAGTCTGAATAATGTAAAGTCGGAGCCAATGAGTTCTCACGGCTACATTAATGTAAGCCAATATCGAAGAACAATTTCTCCTCCTGTAATCACTGAGAGTGGAGATTTGAGGCTCCCTGAGAGAATTTTAGATGAAGTTGAAAAATATTTCTAAACAAATGGGTTGATGTTTTAATAATCCATGTGTGCAATCATTTATGTAACTTTTATTTTTTAATATAAAGTTCTGAAATTGATTGTTATTTCTGAATTATTAGCGGAGACTAGTGTAAAATCGACTGCTTTTCATCGTCATTAGCTCAACATTAGCAGAGTGGAATCAAACGAATTCGTTATTATTTGTCACTTTTGGTTTTCATAATTTGACACTACCCTTTTTGCCTCACCTCTATTATTCATTAATTTTACTCATCGTGATTTCAACGCCTTCATTTTTTTTAAATCTCTGATTTCGAATGATTTCATTGATTCGAAATCATGAAATCACCTCCCGTGACGCTCGACATCACGGAAATTACTTTTCCATCGCTGAAATCACCACGAAAATCGCCCGAAATCGACTTTATTTCGAAATAATGGTATCACTCAATTATCGAGTAAATAGCCCTTCCCGAGTGGAAATTCAAATCAGGATAGAATAAGAGACTGACCAGTAAAAACTGACGTTGATCAGTTTTGGATCAGAAATGTAACGTTGTTTGGATCCATGCCTGGTTAAAATTCTAGGATCCGATCTTTCTGAACAGTACCGGACCCGATACGGATCTAGTCGAGATTTGACTGATCAGAATAGGATCACAATTTACTTCCCCGCATTGGATCCAGATATTCCATTCAGAAACTCATCAGATCCTGATCCGAAAGTCTAATCAATAAATTCTATCCAATATTGGACCTAAAACTGATCTAGATCCAAGCTAACTGAGTGAAATTTCTACTCGGGCTCTTAGTAAATCTCAACTTTCCCATCACCGCGCCAGTTTCGCCTTGGAAGTCTTAGTGAATTGGTAGATTTATTGATTGTCTTACCAGCACGATGACAACTCGAAGTGTTGCAGACATTATCTGGTCCTTCCGAAACATTTAACATCTTGTTTTTCGGTACCATACCGACAATAGTCATTGCCGAGGTTTGGCACAGAACAACAACAACCATTACCGCAATTCTTAGTACGTTTTCCATGGCTGATCTGTGTTTCCACCACATTGAATTTCTAGACAAAAAATGTAAACCATTTCACCAAATCCTGTCCGTAAGTGCGCCCTCGAAATTTCCTATAATTTTGAATTTTATTTCTTTTTCATGAAGGAAATCTCTTCACTTACTTTCTGTCAGTCGGCTCCTATTGTTCGTCAAGTTTTGAAGATTACCTGCCGATTGACTGGAGCAGCTATTTGTTAAATCGAAGATGCGCTAGTATTGGACTGAACGATCGCGCGTGCTTCTTCATCGTATTTAAAGGGCCTGGGAGTCTATTCTCGAGTTCAAATCGTGCGTTCAATTTCGGCAGGTCGCATGCTGCTTATGGGCCGCATGCGACTGAAGATTCGAAATGACCGTCATTTTGTGATTGGGTCATATGACCAAAAAATGACGGTCATATGACCAAAAATTTGTGACCGTCACAAAGAATTTTTGACCGTCAAAAGAGTAAAATAGTAATTTCCGTTACCAAACCATCTATATAGGTGCAAAATGACCGTCACAAATTTATTGCTTTTTGGGACGGTCATATAATTTCTACATAATCGGCATCGTTTATTCGTTCAATTTATTATTGATTATCAATTATTGTTTATTATAAGGTTCTTATGAAAGACTCGAAATGTATATGTACAACTGTACAACAGCTTTTTTTAATTATAAAATTTTGAAACATGTGCTTACACATATTTTGGCATACTCATGAGAGAATGATTACACTTTTAATCTTTGGAACAAAATAAACGAAGTCAAGAGTTCTAGATACTAAAGTAAGTAAACAAAGTCAAGAGTTCTAGTTAACTAGAAAAAAAATAGATGAACAAAAAAGTGTTTCATCTATATCAATGCAAAATGACCGTCACAGTTTTTCGGCCAATTGTGACCGTCATGGAAAAATTTTCTGTGACCGGACCGGCGGTCACTGGGGCCACGTCATGTGACCGTCAATGACGGTCACATGACACCTTCGCATCTTTACATGCAACTTGAACTCGAACGTACGATTTCATTCCATCGATTTTTATTCATGCATTAAAATGCTTTTTTGCAAATGTACCAGTTTACCAAAAACCAGATTTATTGGCACAGTCTGTGTGGAAACGTATTAGTCGCACGAAATCGTTCGAAATTTATATTTGTCGTATACTGATGTCGCTTATCGCGTGATTTCAATCAGTTGGACATTAAGGAAATGTCTTCGCATCGACCTATGTCTCGCTGATATTACTGTTTACTGAGAAATCTACACCCAAGAAAAAATTAGTTCTCACCAGTACAAACCAGAACTCGGGAGAAGGTCACTCTTGAAAAGTTCTACAAATACTCGTCCCAAGTACATTTTGTGTCCTTGGGTGAAGTACCACATCTACCGATCGAGTAGAAATGGTACTGGGAGGAAGTAGTATCACTACTTACTGCCAGTACTTTTAGTACTTTTCACAAGTACCAAAGGTACTAGTGAAAAGTAATTTTTCAACTTCTCTCAAGTTCTTTTAGGACTTAATTTCAGTACTTCCAATTGTTTACTTTATTGAAAAAGTGAACATTATCACCCGATGTAATGGGCTTACGCATTTTTATAAATAGAAATGTTCAGCAGAAGATATTTTGTAGGGAAAAATCAATAGATTGCGATTTTTATGGATATTTTCGAGAATTATTGGTATGCTTTCCAACCTACAAAATTTCAATTTTCTCGAGATTTTTATGTTTTACGTTGTTATCAATATTTAAAAGGCTTCGAAAAATTATTTTCAACTTCTTTTCAATTTTATTACTCACAAAACGGGAATTATTTGAAGTTTTAACGAAATTCAGTTTTTCAGTTCTTATACTCAAAATATAAAAATAAAACATTTTTGAGTTCTTCTACTCAACTTATATTGAGTTTATTATTATTTTATTTTTAACGGAATTCGTTGCGAGTCCGAGCACTTGCAACTAGCTATCGCCCGAGAGCCTTCAGCAAGGTATTTACAATGTAATATAGAGACATTAGAAAACCGAGTGGAAATATAGTTATAGTTTGACAATAAGAAAATAGATAGTAAGAAAAAAAATAATAAAATGTAGAGAAATGGTTTTACATGGTGGGGAATGATATAAGAGTGGTACAACATGAATATTGAGTTTATTTGGTACTTTTGAAAAGAACCAGCCAGGTACTCAGTATAAGTAATTTTGTTACTTGGCCCAAGTAACAAAGTACTTGTGACAAGTACTGAGGTACTTCTCACCGGTACACAGGTACTTGACGCATGATACTTGCATCAAATTGTTTTGTAACTTCGAAGAAGTACAAAAAAATGCCTTTTCCCCAGAAACTCCTTGATACTGGGTGCAAGTACTTTTTCTACTGATCAAAAGTAATTTTTTTGGGTGTATCCTAAAAAAATAATGATTTAATAATGGGTATTCTGTGATCTAACGACGCTCATTTTGTTTGACGTTCGCTGTCGCGGCATTATTATGAGTGGTTCCATATTAACTTTATCAATCTTGCTTTCTATTTTTTTTCGTTTATTGAAATGGATCCGGCGAGGGCGAAGTAGAGTAAATACGATGAAATTTCTCTGCTACAATTACCTCGATTCAAGTTTTTTCTTTCACGTTCATTGTGTCATTTTTGGAATTATTTAAAAAATTAATTTCATTTCAAATTTAACCCTCTAGTGGTCGCGCTATGGTCTGAACGCCGCCGTTTTTGTCATTTTCACGATATCTCTAGAAATGTGATGAATTACGCTTTGCCTACTTACGAGTTTCGTAAATAATGTCCTGATGAAATTAAACACGATAGGGTTGCCCTGTATTGACAATTTTTTTCTCAATTAATTTTTTCGTCGAGCGCGGTTAGCGAGAATAAGCGCAGCGCTCACCGTGCGACCACGCTCGTAGTGGAAATTTGACGAGCGGTGTTGCCGACCCTCGTGGTCGTCCCAAGCAGCGCGTGCAAAGTGGGGGGTCGATGACAGATCCGATCAATTAGCCCCTANTTTGCTACCGATTGGTGATAAAATTTTTTGGAAATAATGAAATAGGGGGCTAACGCCTTTTTCTCAGGGGTGATTTTTCAAAAATTTATTTTAAAAAAAGTAGTAACTAGCAAATGTTTTTTATTAGCTCGCAATTTTTTTCAAAACTACTTCAATGAGGAAAAAAATAAAAATTTGGAATATCTATATATTAGGGGCTAATTGATCGGATCTG